GCGTCAGTACTGGTGAATATTGGATAGAAAACTGCTAGGAAATCTCCAGGCTGTAAACTAGACTAAGATATTTTTTTAAAAATGGAAGAAGGCAGTGGCAAATCATCTAATCTCTATGATTGTGTTCATATTGTCACCTGGAGTCTCTTTGTAGCAACATTGTTTGCTCTCGGGAGCTGAGAGCAAGCTTTTTTAGGTAATGACCAGGATTGCAAGTCTCCTCTGTCAGTACGTCCCAACTAGAGATAGCCTTGGACAGCAGTCTTGATTGCTGAAAGAATATCTGTGTGAAAGGGGCTGCATTGGGATGGCTGGCAAACTGTGTAGAGGGGACAAAATAGTGTTTGCGCAGGAAGAGCAAAGTCTCTCAGCAGAGAACCAAGAAAGGACTGGCTTTTACAGATATTACCTGGCCTTTACATATATTAAGTTTTACTTCTTATTATCAGGAGAAATGTGATCAATGATAAGCTTGTGTCTGGGATGTAGATGTGGGCATGCTTGACAATAGGCTCTCCCAATATATTCCAGACCAGAGGTCCCCAACCTTTTGGGCACCAGGGACCAGTTCCAGGTTTTTCCGGGGACCAGAGAGTGTGTGGTTTTGTGTGCTGCCTGCATCCCACGGATGGGGCTTTGCTTGTTCATGCAGACTGGCTGCTGGCATGCCACAGCCCGGTACCGGTCCACTGTCCGGAGGTTGGGACCCCTTTTCTAGACCTCAAGGAAAACAATGAATTTAGAGAAGGAGACTTTCCCTTGCCTTATCTCTGACATTTATAGCAGGGGTCCCCAACCCCTGGTCCGTGGACCAGTACCGGGACGCAGCATGCCAGCAACCGGGCCGCACAAACAAGCAAAGCCCCATCCACGAGATGCAGGCAGCACACAAAACCACGCTCCCTCCGGTCCGCGGAAAACCCTCTCTCCACGGAACCAGTCCCTGGTGCCCAAAAGGTTGGGGGACCTCTGATTTATAGAATGGTTACTGGTGGGGCAACTTAATCATCACATCATCCTCTCCTGGTAAGGCTGAAATAGTAGTGGCTAGACACAGTGTGACTCCCTGATGAGAACTGGCCTGTAGTGTGAGCCAATTCCTTTCTTTCTGAAGACTCATATTACATGCCTTGGGGGCCTGCTTTGTGTTTTTGATTCTGAATAAGCCATAGAGGGTTTTTTCCGTCATTCCCAAGCCTAAACTTCAGGCATACATGGTTTTCTTTTCCTGTAATTGTATGGAGGCCTCTTTGTCTCTGGCTGTCCAAGGATAGAGTTGCACTTGGGAACTGGATGTGACTTTCTCTTGTAGCTGCCTGCCTACTTGTTGCCTAGTACCTTGACTTGATGGGATAAGGTTCAAGATGTGGAATTCCTTGTGTCTGACTGTTGTATTTATTCAAAGATGTGCAAAGGTCAGACATGGCATGGGAAAAATTAAGCCTCTGTGCTGTATGCCTGCATTCCTTGGCTATCTTAATTGTTGATCTATAGAGTGGGGATTGATGCACACCTATTAACTCTCTAATGTCTTGGTGGCGCATGACTTTTAAAGCAGAAATCTCCAGTTGGGTACTATGGGAGATTTCCTTGCCCCTGACAACTGAAATGGATCAGGCCGAACAAACATGGGACATGGGAGTCAGGCTTCTGTGCTAATTGTAAAAAATTGTGCAAAAATTAGACTTTCACCAGGCCAGGTGACTTTCCCCCCCCCTCCATGCTTTTGCCAACTACATGCAATGAATGGCCATTCTAAAACTCTTGCATTTGGGCTGCAAGTTAAAAGATCTTTTGCCTGATAGAAATGCAAAGGGGCCACTATCATTCCAGATTAAAGAAAAATCAAGGGATAAAACGATGCCAAGAAAGTGACTCTCTTGAACTGAGCATGCAAGCAAACTAAAACTTGCTACGGCGGCATTAAAATGTGGTGTGGTTAGTATAACAACAGTAGCCCGTGTAGCAATACACTCCTGGAGTGAAACATGCTGGCCAAAAACGCTAAAAGGAGCAGGAACTGTTTGAGGAGGGTATCTTCTGAAATGATTGTGCAAGCCAGCAGTGAAAACATCCTCTTAACTAGAGGTAGCATGAGAGGCCGTAATTGGCTCTTTGTTTTTTTGTTTTGTTTTTTGTATGTGTGGTATGCTTCCAGCTTGCTCTAACATGTTGTGCCTCTCTGCACTGATAGAGCCTGAATGTTGCTGCAATTAATCCAAGGAAGAAGGGTGCCTTGGCAGGTAAAACTGCTTGCCCATGAAGTTTAATGTATATTTACATTCTGACACTGGCATCTTGGGTTTCCGATATCTATGGATTGAGGTGGTAGTGGTGGTGGTAGAGAAGGAATGATATGAATAAGGTACTTCAGTCTTTCTTTCTTTTTTTTTAAGATTGTTCGTGCTTAGTTGTGACTCAGGAAAAAGCCTGTAATAGAGTAATAATGAAATATGAGTGCTGTAAAAGAAAAAGAAATCGGCCAATCATTGCAAGATGGGGCACAAGTCTCTGCTTGCCCAACTTTGCATGCTTTTGGAAGCATTTTCCCACAGTTATCAGTGAACGAAATGGAATCCTTGTCTGCTTTCAATATGAAGCATATTTAGGCTGCAGTCCAAGGCTGTACCTTTAAAAAAAGAAAAAGAAAAGAAAAACTAAACTTTTTCTCTCGTTCAGAGACTGAATGCAAAGCAAAGTCGAGAGCAATTAGTTTGCCTTGTGTTTAGAAAAAGTCAGCTTTGTGTATATAACAGTGGTTGTTTTATCTCAAAGAAGCTGTTTGTTTCAGGTAGTTTTTAATTCCTTCCCACTGGTCTTTTAAGTGGATTGCTAGCAAATGTAGAGCAGTTAATAAACATAAGGCAAATGTAAGCCTTAGGAGTTACAATGTTCTTTTTGGTTGCCCAAAAATCTTTTGACTTCTCTCTCCTGTGTTTCTCAAAATTATGGTGACCTAATAATTGCACCTGGTCTCTTTAATATTTGGCAGACTCTTAATCTGTTGGCAGAGTTATGTGAGAAATAAAGCCTTTTTTTTTCTTTGTGTGTAAAGACCACGTTTGTATTATTTGTTGTAAATGCAAAAACTTTTAAGCACTAAAATGGTTCCCACATTTTTGATTGAAAAGTTTGTTGTGGCCAATAAGGGTAGAAAAATTTTAAATCCATCCAGAACTTTCAACATGGAGATAATACTCAAAGAAATGTTCTGGAGAATGTGAAAGTTTGCTCACTCTTCCATGTTGTTTGGATTGGTTTTCATTTAAATGTGTTAGCTATCTCTGAGGTTTGGATGTCATTTTTAATAAAGACGTTTTAAAAAGTTTCTATGGCCTGGAATAATACCTTCCAGCCAACTGTGCCACTTGCAATAATTTGGGATGTCCTGGCATTTTACAGTTTGGCAAGGGTAATAAGCAATGTTCAGCTTTCATAGGAAGTACTTATGGTAACCTTCATTTCATATGTTATACCGATTATAATGGTCGTCTTAGGCCAGGGGTAGGCAACCTTGGCTCTTTTATGACTCATGGACGTCAACTCCCAGAATTCCTGAGCCAGCTATGCTCAGGAGTCCATGAGTCATAAAAGAGCCAAGGTTGCCTACCCCTGTTTTAGGCAATGTAATCTTACTTGACATTTTACTGCTCAACTCCTGCAGTCCAACTTATCTAAGCATTCTGACTCAAACACCATTCATTCTTTGCGGAGTTCTGAGCGAGCCAGTTTGGTATAATGGTTAAAGTGCTGGCCTAAAAACCAGGAGCCTATGAGTTCTAGTCCCACCTTAGACATGAAAGCCAGCTAAGTGACTTTGGGCAGTCACTCTCTCTCAGCCCAACCCATCTCACAGAATTGTTGAGGAGAAAGGAGCATTATTACATATGTTTGCTGCTTTGAGGTACCTATAAAGCAGTAAAGGCGGGATAAATTTAAAAATTGGGTGTAGAATGGACAAAAGAAGATGGCACCTACTGCCCTCTAGTTGATTCGGGTTACAGGTCCTACTGTACCTTGCTGCTGGGTCTCTTAACTACAACCAACAGGGAGGTCAGCGTTCAAAACCTGAGGAAGCACCAGATTATATCCCTCTGCTCTCTTGAGTTTTTAAATTTCTGTTTCGATTCAAGGTTAAAGAGAAAGTGGCTTAGCTAGAGCAACTGGCATCCTTCCAGCCTAAATCTGTTTGTCTTGTATACAGCAATGACTCCTGGCATTTAGATCTCACAGGGCATCTTAATGGGTTTATAAGCATGCAGTTGCCACCAGTTCTCCCATTTTTAAAGTTTTCCTCCAGGTAGGTTTTGAACAAGGAGAGAATACCCTTCTATTCCTTTCCCTACCCCTTTCATGGCTGCTTTATACATTTCTCCCTCTCTTTCCCCCCTCCCCCTCCCTTTCCGAATTCATCTGCTCTCTCCTTTCTTTCGTTACCTGATCCTTGTGGGAGCAGTGATGGCTTTGCCCTAGACAAAGTGTTCAAAGAGGTGCTGAAAAACTGAATCTCTAGAGATTATGGCTCTGAACCTTGACAGTGCAATTCTAGCAGCCATGGCTGGCTTTCTGAATGGGAAACATTGATATTTGTAAAATGTTTGGGTTTTTTATTATTATTATTTTTTTTTAAAAAAAAAAAATCTCCCTCTCTCTCAGGGCTGCTTTCTCCTTGCAGCATGTTTTATATAGCATAACAACAAAACCCTGGCCGGGTAAGGGATGGTAACTTCTTGCCTAAGTATGTAAGATGCATTAGTGATGACAAAGATGAGACTTTTCACCTTAAATTGCTTGAACCAGGAAGGATAAGGCAGCTTAAGCAGCTGCAAGAGGATCACCTTTGTTTCAGCTATAATCTATTGACTATTTATGTTTACTGGCAAGTCACAATTTAAAGAAAGCAGCTCAACGGTTTTTAGAAGGTGCTTTATAAAACCTAGGACAATAGTAGAATAAATGTGTCTTACAAAAATAACTGATCCTTATTACTATCTTTGCAGAGATCCTACACATTACTGGTTGAAGCCTGGGATTACAGCAATGACAGTGCTAGTAAGTATACATTTCCCCCTTTTTATTTCCTTCCCTGGAATTGTTTAAGAGTAGGCACTTAGGATGGCATTACAAAAAATGCGACCCTTCACCATGCTGTGGCAAAGTTGCCATGTATATCTTAATCGGAATAGCGTGCACCTGTGGAAAAGGGAAAGCTGATGGACATACACTAGGAATCTTCTGGATGCACTGAGAGTACAGCTCCTAGAATTCCCAATTAGCCTGCTATGATCTCACAATGCATCTGATGATACCCTCTTAAAGAGAACATTGTAGAATATCTCTAATCTTGGACCAAATTTTGGGTGAGGTCAATATCAGGGAATACCCATGTCACTAGATTGACCAGATAAAGGATGACAGAAAGATTTTTTTCCCCTTCCCATGGTGGTCCCAGGTTGAATGAGAAGAAACCTGCTACATTAGGGAAAGATAATTTATCTTCCAAGAGAAGCACATCTGGACTTCTGATCTATTGTTGCATGGCTCATAATGAGCATTAGTAAGAAAAAACTGGGCAGAAAAATTGCCCAGATATTTCCTTTCGAACAAGTTGAAAAGATTTTGAAGCAAGTATAGGAAGTACTTGTGGAAATCTACTGGGATTGATTGATCCAGTTTGCCCCATGTGGCTCTGAAGATCCTTCCTAGAACAACTGTGGATGGTAGCACTAGACCAGGGGTATCAAACTGCCGCCCGCGGGCCGGATGCATCATAGCGAAACCGTGCCCACCCCATTGCCAGAAATGGCAAAAAAAGTCACGATACGTCGTGACACATCACGTGACGTTGCGAGTTTGATACCCCTGCACTAGACTATAACGTGAACATTTGCTAGCCAGCCTGCCTGAACAGGAGTCTGTACTGTAATTGAGAAGAGAGGGAAACCTGGAAATATAATAACATTTTGGAGAAAAGGTAGGAGAGAGAGAAAATGAAATAAGAAAAAGGAAGCAGGGATAAAGGACAGGATAGATAAAGTATCCAGCAAATAAAATAAGCCAACAAAACAACTAACAAGTAGGTGTTGTAGCAGAGCCCCTGAATCCAGAGACCCTATCACTGAAAAATCAGCAATTATTTCCTCGAAATGGCCTTCTTTCTTGATACAGTCAGGATCTTGTCAAGGAATGAGGGAAACTAGATGTCTTCTATCAACCTTGTCTTTGAATGTAGTTTATAACTTGGTGTAGGATATCAATGCTTTTTCTGCCATGACAGAAAAAGTCCTTTTTCTGCCATGACAGAAACTTACAGATGTGCCACTTGAGAATATCTGTCTTCCCTAGGGATGAAGCTGCTAGTAGAGGTAGGGACCTAAGTAGCAGATATAAAAGCCATGAGATAATGAGATAGGAATGGCAGGTTTTCTCCAGCAAAATAATTAGGGACCTAGTCAAGCTTTTGATCTCAGGTGAGAAATCTGAAAAAGGATGGAGCTGAGGGAAGGAATGCATCTGAAACTCCCCTGAGTTTAGGCATAAAAGGCTGTCTGCCATGAAGAATTAAACATAACTAACAATCAAGATCAACTATGTTGTGAAAGCCTACTCAATTGTCTGTCCCTTCTTCTTGGGAGCAGATATTGGACAAAAACCCAGGCATATCCTTTGACCAGTGGGGCCAAAAAAATCACCCTGCACTCTCTAAGCTTGACATAAGCCCTGGAGCATTGGTTCAATCATTCTGGCCCATGGGATTATGAATGTTTTTCATCAGCCACTATTCCATTTCTCATTGGAATTCAAACCATACAGAAAGGAAGTTGGCAAAATCTGTGGAATACCCCAGCATATAAGAACATTTGAATTCATGAGTGCATTGAAACCATATATGTCCCACTAGTTTTCTTTTAGAGCATGGGGATGAGGAATGATGGCCCCTTTATGACTTGTGGACGTCAACTCCCAGAATTCTTGAGCCAGCATCCACAAATCATAAAAGGGCCCATCATTCCCACCCCTGTTTTAGAGAAATGTACCTGCACAATCCTCCTTAATTTTCCCTGGCGAACTCATAAGTGCTGATTTTCCTATAAGTGACTATTGTTGCTATAGTACTTTCTCTGTGCACATTGCTTCCACACAATTTTTATGTCATGTGCTTAGTACTTTATGAGTATGTTTTCATTTGGCCCACAGCATGATACTATGTCAGGAAACTCAGATGAAGTCCTATGTATGGACTAGAGGAAAATTGGTAGCATATATGTCACCTAAATAGGTGACATATATTGCAGAGATAAATGAGTAACATCTGCAGTCATTCTGGCTTTTCAGAGATGGCTCAAGTCCAATTCAAGGAAGAGATGAAGTTTTGGAGATCCTTCCTTCATATTTGAAGCAACAAGGGGTTCTAACGCTTGCTAACGTTGCATCTTGATTTGGAGATAGAAGCAAATGACTTCCTAGGTCTTGCTGACTTAGGCAGATGTCCGCTGCCACCAACACCCGTCTTCCATTTTTAAATCACGTGTATGCCTGCTCTTACTGTTAGCACTAAGTTGGATTCTAGTTCTTTTTGGATCCCCTTTTTAGAGGGAGGAGGAGAGCAGTTTAACAATGAGTTCATTGTGCAGGGCTATAGGCCTCATTTCTATCTATCTTAATCATCTTCTTCCCAAAATTGTTGTGAAAGTTCTCCTCCAGAGAAACTTGCCCGCTAACATTTACTCATGGTATATCTTACAATGGTGAAGGTTTCATCATTGGTTGGATGTTCTCTTCTGCATTGCAAGGAAAAGATGAAGAACACTTCCATTACAGAAGCAAGTATATTTTGTGGACACTGAAACTAGAAAATACAAGATTGGCCCTGGCATAAAAGCATAAACAACATATGAAAGAGAAGTGACTCTCATATAGGTGATACATTGACTCTATTGGAGAAACTCTGCATTTGAAAGAAGGTCTTGTTTGCTAGAAAAGCCTAATTCTTTTCATTCTGCATCTTGTACTATCTCTGCTTTGAATAGATCTCATCTTTATTTCATGAAACAGAATGTCTGAAGCTTCACAATGAATCCTTTATTTGTTTGAACATTCTGGAAGTGAAGTTTTTCACCAACCCCCCCATCTCCCCCCCCCAAAAAAGTTACTTAAAATCCTTTTTCTGAAAAGCATGTTTGACCACGTCGAGATGGAGCTTTGCACTTAATTCATGAGTCAATTTGCAGTAGATCTGGTATTGCATAATTGATCACAATGGTGGCCATGCAATGCAATGCAAACTTCCTCCTTTCAATATTACATTGTTTATCTGCTATTGCAAAATTTTATTAGGTGTCATAGAACCTTATGATGAATAGATTAGAAAGAATACTGCAATGGCAATTGATTCATAATTTACATGTGTTTTAAAAGAATGAGGTAGATTAATTAATGTAACTGAACCATTCTAAATTGCTTTTGGAGAAACAATATTTAGTCTGGATAACAATACATTCATCTTTCCTAATTGAAGTGTTAAATATTTTGTGGAAAATTTTAGAATGCTGTTCCCTAAAGCTAGAGTCCAGAAGCCCTATTAATGTCAGATTAAAGAGCAAATTTTCTCAATTATATTTCAGTTCTGAGCACTTATCTTGCATAGCCAGTAATTGGGATAGATTACTGGAAGAAGTAGTCTAACATATCTGGAAGATAACTGTCTAGTCTACCATCTTGTTTCTAATACCATCCAGTTAAAGCTTTCTGAGTGGTTCACATTCAGCAGCCCTCCACAACAAATAGTATCTTATTCAAGTCTGGGCGAGTCTTGAATTCCAGGATCTCAAAAAAACGATAGGAATCTTTCTCTGTGTTACCTTGATGTGCTTTCCAAATATGGCATATGAAGAGTTTATTATTCTTGAAGAATAAGTTTAGAGGCAGGTATGGAGTAGTTATGGTACATAAGTAGGTATTTTATTAGTCCTTTCTCTGAAAAACAGATGTATGACAATTTAAAATGCTTTCTTCAGATGGGAGGTGTCAAATGTACTAAAAGGATAGGCAGTCTGATGCCTGCTAGGAAGTCAACTACAATGGCTATAATGGGATTTAGCCTACAAATAGTTTCAGCCATGGTGCATAGGAATTCTGGGAATTGCAATCCAGTGTAGGTTGTAAAAGACTGGGTCTGAAGATAGCTAGCAAAGGTCATTGGGTGGTTCCATGCTGTTTTTTTCAAAGGACGTGAGCCTGTAGGACTAGGCATTCCTCCTTTGGAACATATCATGAACATCTTCTTTTAAAGGACACATCAGCAACATAATGAAAGTTAGCAGGAATTCTTCCTAAATAAGGCTGAGATAATACATAAGAAAATTACAGGTGTCTGGAATCTTTTGCGAGATTGGAACCTCTAATTTGTTAGAATGAGAAAGTCAACTAACAGTTTAAAAGAATGCATTCTGAATAGTGTTAGATATTATCAGTATATTTCCTAATAATTCAAGCAAGCATTTTGAAGATAATATATTGTCTGGTTCTCCCTACCCTAATCTCTATAGTCTTTAAATCCAAGTGGATTCCTAGGGATGTTGATTTGGTTTTAAAAAATGTATTCCACTTTCTGAATACTCTTAGATGGGTAAAGATGGCCTTGAGGATTGATTTAACCATTGAATGTGATATGGTAATGCTGATGGATAAATAATGACCTTATGAGTCTCTGAGTAGGCATAGCTTCCTTATTTCAAACTTATGAGGCTGTAGCCTACTTGCTTACCTTAACAAAGAGAAAAAAAAGCTACACAGCACAGCTTGAGCCCTTTTTTTTGCCCTAGTAATATAATTGATTGCCAACTGTGTCCTGGTTTAGCAGTACAGAACGCCCCCTTGGAAAATTGGATTTTGATATCAGAAGCTGAAAGGATCTTAATAGCCAGGCATCCCACTACAACAGACCAGATTAATAGGTAAATTAATGATCTAGCCTTTCTGAACTATCTGCCATTTAAGCAAGAAAACAGCATTTTATCTGTGGATCTTGACTTGCCCAAACACCATAAACACATTTTGTGATGAGCTTAGGCAAAAATTATTTTATTATTATTATTATTATTATTATTATTATTATTATTATTATTATTATTATTATTATTATTATTATTATTATTATTATTATTATTATTATTATTATTATTATTATTATTACCTTAATCCCTCAATATATACCTTCTCTTTCCTACATTCCTATCAGTGTCCAATTGTTTCGGGGGTGGGTGGGGTGTTCTCTTCTCATTTTGATTCAAAGTGTAAGATTCCAGCGTGGTCAGTGGCAAAATCTACAGATCGCTTTCCCTCTAGGCAGGCTGGCTTTATTTTTTTTCACTGTCTGCCGCCATTGGATTGCTAGTCATTAACCTTCCATTTCTGTGGCTTAGTAATGGAAGGTTTCTCAATCTCTGAACTAATTTTCTTTGGGTACTGCAAGCTGCCAAGGTGGGAGGGGAGAGAAGGAGTAAAGAATATGTGGAAAATCCTACCACAGCTGGTTATGTGAGTGCTTGTTTTTTCCTGTGAGGTGGCTAATAACTGCCCAATGATGTTATGATATACCAAGGTGAAGGGGAGGGGGAGGCAAAGGCGGAGCATTTTACACACATAAGTTGCATTCCCCTTGTCTCTTCAGAGCTTTATGTGAACATAAAGCTAACTCTGCAGACCTAGAGGTCATGCAGTTGCTAGCAGCATGCTTCCTTGCATCCCTTGATAAGGGATCTGTTGACATGCACGTGTGAATTGGCCCTACAGGTATCTCCATTATTAGAGAAATGAAGTGTGCAGCAATGGGCCTTTATGGTGCAATTTACATTACAAAGTGCCCTGGAACAAATATTTTGAAAGCTGTTAGCTGAATAAGTAACTAGGTCTATGTTCCCAGCATAACTGTTCTCAAAAGAGAGGTATGATATCCTTGCAGAAAGCGGTTTTTAAACATAGCGTTAAGCCTTAACTATATGGCATAATATTATCGGTCTTTCCACTATGCCTGTAAAGCCAGTTCATAAGTAGGGAGTGAAAATGTACTATTAGTTCAAGATTGTAACTGAAGATAAATTGTAAATTGCTGTATTTCTGTCATAAAAGAATAATATATTTTGCTGAATCTTTTTGCTGAAAATCCATAACTCGATTATGTTAAATTCCATTTTTTTAATGCAGAGTTCAAAATCATACTCGTATCTTTCAGTGTAATTACTTTTCCCAAAATCATTTGAAAAATATATGAGCATTCAGCCAAAACTGGTCTTTAATGGGACAAGTCCAAATCTTGTGCATAAATGTCCCCTGTCATTTTAAACTTCCATCATGCCATTTTTTGTGTTGGCTAAACTAATATTTTAAAGAGATTTAATGATATTCTTACTGTTTATTTCAATATTTACCTCTGCAATGTTCTTTAACTGTCTATTTTAAAAAGAATCTGCAGATTTAGAATTGTCTAACTTAGCATTTCTGAGCTGATAATAGTTTTGGAGGCTTCTAATGTGTTTGGATCACATGGTGAAATCAGGACGAGTTTTAACAGAATTTACTGCTATTCCATATTTCAGTTGCAATTCTTCTTGCAATAACTCCAATGGTTTAAAAGCTTGATTGGCATTTAATTGTTCAGAAGTATTAATACCTCTATTAGCCCATAATTAAAGCAGCCTATAATGCTGGAAATAGAACTGTGGCTAAAAATGGAGCAGAGCCTCTCCCACAATATCAAGTGGGATCACATAATCCTCCCTGAGGCTCTTATATGATAAAAAAAATAAAATCAAACAAGGAGGCTGGCTTAGTAACATAGTCATCAATACCTAAATTGACTTTTGTCCTTTGTTATAACTTCATGGATTACATTTGCCATGGCTGTTCTGCAAATGAGACTAACTTCAGAAATGATTTGCATGCAGAAGTTCATGTTCAGTTTCTTCCAGCTGAAGTATCCTCAGCTGAGTTGGAAGAAATTTTATAACACACCCTGGACAGCCATGAAAAGTTGTAATTCACTAAACTAGGCTAAATAAGACTATCATCATCTAACTAAGTTTGAGGCTTTGGAATACATTCATATGCTTGTTGATGTTTTTAGTCCATGATCTGCTCACCAAGGTTCATAATATAGCTAGAATATTCATTTCAAATTAATCTGTTGTGTATATATTAAATAACCTGGGAGCTTTAGGAATAATCTTTAGAAAGAGAACAACCAGAAGCTCATAAGTTTCTTTTTCATTACTATTCCAAAATAGAAAATATGTTTTTAAAAATTTTACCTTTAGGAAACTGGGAAGTTTTTCTTTTAAATCTATCTTGCTTTATTATCGTTAGGCCTGCTGTCACCTTACTTATATCTTGGTATTATTGCCAATTCCCCCCCCCTTCCCTTCTTTTCTCCCCATTTTTTTCTGAGTGTATTAGGCACCTTTGTGTGCCTTGAAAATTTTTCATGCCATAGCCCAGAACTGCTAGCAAGCAAGTCATATGGCAGTGTCAGATAACTGAAGTCACAAGGCTAGACTACAAAGTGAAATATCACAGATCTATAAACAATGTTCCATGCTAATGTGAAATTTTCAGGTGTTGGGTATACCCCACAGCAGTTGCGGGCTTTCTTTCAGAACTAGGATGAGTTTCCTGGAAACCAACCCTTCCTTCAAAGAGATCATGGAGAAATCTTGTCAGATTATTTCCACCTTCATTTTTCCAATTTAGCCTTTTACATGTCCACACAGACATCAATGCTATGAATTCATCAGGCTTACTCACAGTTAAGTGTGTATATAATAATAGCTTAAAGTAGCTTGAAAACTGGCACCTAAAAAAAATGGATAAATACCATAACTGGCTTTAAAAAGTTACTTGGGAAGGTGAGCAACCATCTCTTATTGCTTTAAAGGCTTGCTTAGACCTGTTTGTCTGGAAATTTTTGGCATAGGTTTTCCAAGTCCAAGTAGATTGTTGCAACACTTCTACTGTATGTGGCCCGAAGGCTTTATAAATGCTATGCAAAGGCTATCTGGTTGTTGGATGAATTATCAAAATAAAGCACAAGACATTATAAGTGGGAGCTGGGCTCTTCTTGTTTGTAAAAGCTGTTCCAGCCTCGTGCTGCCTTCCTAATTGTTGATCATCATATCTTCCGCTCCAGATTTAGAGTTAAGTTTTTTTCATAAAGCACGTGTTTTCTAGTTGCATTTTCTTGATTCATAAAGTTCACTTTATAATTGTTTGATTTAATGGATAGAATGCTATCAACACAGCTGGCAGAATTGGGCAATGAGGTATTCTATGTTAGGAATAAGAAGTTCAGTGGATTATATATGGATAGTGTACTTAGAAATGCTAACTAGGAGAGCAACAGCAAAGGATGAAGTAGCCCCAAATTTCTATGAAAATGTATGTTTCCTGTTGGTGACTTCAATGCAGGTTGGTGCTTCAGGACTTGACAATATTGTTACATTAACTACCACATCTTTCACTTTTGGGGGGCTACTTGGGTGAATTAACACTGTAGTAGAGGTCCTCCCAAATGACTGTTTCATTCTTACTGATTTTTCTTTCTTTTTTTTCATGTCAGATGCAGATAGCATTATTGAAAAGGCATCACACTCTGGGATGATCAATCCAAGCCGTCAGTGGCAGGTCTTGAAGCAAAATTCTGGCGTAGCTCATTTTGAATACCAGATCCGGGTCACCTGTGATGAACACTACTATGGTTTTGGATGCAACAAACTTTGTCGACCAAGAGATGACTTCTTTGGACACTATACTTGTGATCAGAATGGCAATAAAACTTGCTTGGAAGGCTGGATGGGACCAGACTGTAATACAGGTTTGTAATACCCATCTTCTATTTCTTGTACATCCTCCACTCCCAAATTCTAGAGGCCAAAGAGGTTATTTTTTTAGGCCAACTAAACATCTGCTCAGAAAAGTGGTTTTGCTAGAGCTTAGGCAAAGTAAGAATATATTTTTTATTTTAAAATATTTTAGGCTGACCTTTTTAGTCCAAAACCTTTAGATGGCTCACAGGATCAGAACAAATCAGCAGTAAACAAAGTCTATATTTTGGGTGATATCAAATTATTTAAGGTAATTAAAACACAAGGACAACAAAAAGTCTGAAAGAATATTCTTAAAATAGAGGAATAGGCAATTAAATGACCAATGTAGTATACTCTAACAAAAAAAAGTTCTACCTTCACACGTATGCTAATGGAGTCAGAGTTGGTAATGACTGAGTAAGAAGACTAAAGATACAGATGTCGTCAAGAGATTTCTAACAAACATCCAAGATTTTTTTTATCGCTGTGGTAAAGGCAAATTCCATGCTGGAAAACATGGAGGAATGAACACATATTTAAGTTACCAGAACTGTAATGCCTTTATGGGGAGGTTACCTTTGAATGTTGTATGCAATTTAGTTTAACTCAGGATATTTACAGCTGGAAAAAAGTAAACATAATGAACAAAGGAAACTTGCCCAAGAAGAAAGGTAGAATATTTGGGGTTCTTTTGTTCAGAAAAGGGTAAGCAAAAGAGACACAAGTGTATAAAATTATGTAGGATGTAGAGAAAATAAATAAATGGAAAAATTGTCTTCCTCTTTTATAATCCGAGAAATTAAGGTTAGAAGTTGAATGGTGGACAAATCAAAACAGGTAAAAGAAGCACTGCAGGATCCAATCTGGGTCAGTCACCAGGACCACAGATTTTGTCTTCCAAGCTTTCGGGCGCATGTTGGAGCCCATTCACAGGGAACTTCTCTGTAGAGTCGGTCCTGGTGACCAAGCCAGATTGGATCCTGCAACATTATCCTGGGACGCGTATATTCACCTTCATTTGTAAAAGAAGTACTGCTTCGTACAAGATGCAGATAAACAGAACATGTTCCTTCTGTAAGCTGTAATGATGATACCAGTTTAACTTGTTTGAAAAGCAGATTAGATCAGTAAATGTACTTGCCCATCATGTGATATCTGCATTGCCCACAATGCAGATATCACATGAGCCAACCTCTTTAGCCTACTGATACAGCCATCCTTGAACAGTTACATTCCCTACCAGTGAAGAAGGGTCTGAAAGGATTTGAACAGCATAAAAGCTGTGTTACAGCAATCCAGCTTGGACACCACCAGTGCATGAATAACTGACTTCTCCAGGGAAAGCTGCAGCTGGCAAAACAAAACAAAACTCCTCAACATTGCTGCCTAAGCTTTCTCAGCTAGTGATATATCCAGGAGACCTCCCAAGCTGTGTTTGTTTTTAGTTTAATAATGCATGATTATTTTGTGAGTTCTGACTTCCATCCAGTACCTCATATGACTTGGTCTAACATGGCCTCTTAGAGGTAGTACTATGTTTGCAGATCCTGGCTTAATATAGGTCAATCCCCCTGTCCTCCTGGGCTGTATGTGTGAGTCAGTAAGTGAGCGAGAAAGAGTGATTGTGGTTTTTTTTTGAATATTTTTTAAAAATTATATACGTATTGAGCTGCAAAACAAAACGTAAGCTTCTTTATGTCCAAGAACGCATCTGAGGCCTAATAGACCTCATTTTATTTTAGAAATTAAAAATGGTAGTTTTCCTCCCTTCCTTGAAGGACAGTAGTAAATGGGGGATTCTGTTAAAGAGGGGCTTCAATTGGTATCAGGTAGGATCATAATTAGGGATTATACCCTCTACATCAGCCATTTTGCAAATGGATGAACCTCATCCCAGTAGCCAACGTCTAGCAAGCACCCACAGGATGTCCTCTACATTCCAGAAGTGGCCACCAGTCCCCAATGCCTGGGGATGCCTAAATAATACTATTCAGCATGAAGGTATCATGAGTTGTAATCAAACATATCCTCTGTTTAAAAAGCCAACTATATCTCATATTGTGGACTGTTTAACTTTGTACAGCACAGTCCTAGGCGATCATATTGCCAAAACAGATTGCCAAAAGAGAGGATCCCTCAGATTGCCAAAACAGAGGAGCAGGTAGCAGAATGATGGGGAAAGATTGCTACCTGAGCTGCTGCTACTAACCAGGGCAGTAATATTGGGGTATCAATTTAAGAATGTTTTGCCCATGAGACTTCCACAAGTTGGCCTGCCCTCCCCCTTCTCTAGTTTTGCTTTTTAAGAAATCCTTGTGAGAAGCTCTTTGAGGTCTACACTTGTTGCCTTTGCAATTGGACAGGGACTCCCTCTATGCTGAGACCTCTGATAAAAATGGCCTGTACCCTGATACCTGCACCTGTCATTTAGGCTTGCCAGGTGGCTCCCGCTTGAAAACCTTTGGGGACCACATTGTTGCACACCTGCAAGAAGAGTACGGGGAATCTGTGAATGTGTAAGATAGTGGAATGACCATGCCTGCTTGCTTTTTGGCCTTACCTACCTCTGGCATGCACTTCTTTCCTCAAAGTTAGATACAATTTTGTTGGATTTGAAAACGATCCCTTTCTGAGTCTGCTACGTCTCACATTCCTACCCACAAACAAGCATTAAAAAATAAATTCCTTTGTTAATGCTAAGAAAGCAGGTGAAAGACCCTTGGTTGCTGTTCTGTTATGTGTTGGCTATGGTGCTATCAGTGCATTACAAATCATCAAACATTTCACTGTTGGAGTGGGTGAAAGGTGCTTTTACGCAAATGATTTGCAGCTATAATATGTGGGTGCATAAATGTATAAACTACTTTGAGACAGAAAATGCTGCAGGCCATTAAAGTCTTTAGAACTTTCAACATTGGGCTGGTGTAATTTTGTTAATGAAGCTTTCACCGAGCAGTTGAGACCCCTTCTTTGTAGGCTGCTGGCGTGAAGAATCTCAGTTTCTTTTTTTACTAGTGCTGACTGGGCTATTAAACTTTCCAGGGGATTCATGGTGCAAGAAATGTTCTTTTGTACATTTATTTCTCCCATTCCCTTTCTTTTTAATTTTCTCCATTTTTTTTCTCTTTTCAGCAATCTGTCGTCAGGGTTGCAACCCCAAACATGGTTCTTGTAAAATGCCCGGAGAATGCAGGTAAAGCAAAGAAATATTTTCTTTCTTAAATGATTCAGAATTTCTGTAAAGTAAAAAAAAAAAAAAAAAAAAGAGTAACATTGGGGCAGTCTTGATGTTTAATTTTGAAGCAAATATTCTCTACCCCAGGGCTCGGGAAAGAAAACAATACTTTGGGAAGATATCTTGGAAAAGCATGTAAACGTATTTCATTTGGGTCTCGGGGCAGAAAGTCAAATAGATTGTGAACCTTCTATACTGAATGGCAGCTAAATTCTTGGCCCAACGTTAGTGGGTAATCTGTTTGAGGCATTTACTTCTAGTAAGTGTAATTATATGACTGGTTTTAGTGTTCTCCATCTCCTCCCCTCCCTTCTTTCCCTCAACTTTTCCCATCAGTAGGCACAAGTTGAGCATTCTTGAGACGGGATTAATGCCGCCTCCTTGGGTCCTCTGCTCTTGGGAGCCAGACTTCAGAGTGATGAGAGGTTAATAGCTTGGATGGAATCTTGTCCATCTATAGATCTTCTTGATGAGGCAGAGGGCTGCTGTGGTTCTTTGATGTCTCCTGTCTTTTCTGGCAAGCTGACAAGGTTGGGGTGGGGAGGTGGGTCGGGAGAACAGCTTGCGTGTAGCCAGGAATCATGACTATGTTGCATCTTTGAATTGGGTTTGCATTAAGGTAAGGCTGGCGAGCGTTGGGGTTAGGAACCTTTGCTGTTTAATGCTTCCTTTCTTTCCAGAGTAATTGCTGCCTGCGTTTCAGGCGCAGGAAAGGGAGCGCCTTGACACTGGCAGAAGGGCCCTCCAGAAGCTGATTGTGTACTCAGACATATTGTGGGGTTTTTGGTTTCTTCCCTAGTCTGACTTCCAGACTGGGTCACCGAAGCCAGAAGCATTTGGGGAGGTCAAGAAAATCTCTGGCCTCAGTGAACCACTTGAGGTTTAGAGGTTTGCAAGTCTGAATCCAGAGAATAGCTTTATATTCCAAAAAGTGGTGGCAAGCACAGTGAAAAGGGGGTCAGTCAGACGTCATCTTTCCCCCTTCATTGGCAAGTATTGTGACCAATCATCCCCAGGCCTGCCCAATCGTATCTTGGCAAGCCAACACACTGCTCCCTCTTTCTTAATCTCAAAGCCAATCAACTCCCTGCTTTTCCTCTCCCTGGTAATGGCTCCCATCCCATTTGTGTCCTCTCAAAAGTCAAGTTGTTCGGAAGAGGAGTAGGCCACTGCCAATAACTCCATAAGCACCTCTCTGTAGAAAACAGGACTACTACTTGTAGCCATGGGAGAGGGGGAACCCCCCACAATGTCTGGCAGCTTTCAAGCCTTTATTGATCCATGTCTGCCTGGAGATGATCCTGAAAAGATATACAGGTAGTCCTCGACTTACAACAGTTCATTTAATTACCATTCAGAGTTACAACATTACCGATAAAAGTGACTTATGACCATTTTTCACACTTTATGACCATTTCGGCATCCCCATGGTTACATGATCAAAATTTGGATGCTTGGCAACTGACTCATATTTAAGACGGTTCCACTGTCCTGGGTCACATGTGATCAACTTTTGCAACCACCTGACAAGCAAAGTCAATGGGGAAGCCAGATTCACTTAACAACTGCAGTGACTCACTTAACCACTGTGGCGAGAAAAGTTGTAAAATAGGACAAAATTCATTTAACAAATGGTTTTGCTTGGCAACAGACATTTTGGGCTCAATTGTGCTCGTACGTCGAGGACTATCTGTAAGTGGAGCTGCCAATTGGTCCCCCCGGGAGGGCCCTTGTACGGTACACAACTTTTCTTCAGCAGCAATAGGAGACTCTGCACTCTCTCAGGACACTTGCTCCATGTTAGAAGTGGCTTCCAGCTTGTAGCTGCACAGTATTTGCAAAAGAGAGGACTCTGTCTGGAACAGGACAACCCCAGCATGGCTGCTCCCCTGGGGGCCCTCTCAGTTGCAGGGGCTGTCTGGAATGGAGGAGAGGTATGGGGAGTGGCAGGTAGGCCATATCCCGTGCCTTTGTTGTGGAGAAAACTGGATCAAAATCTAAGTAGCCCTAACAGAATATCCAGAAGAGGAATAGTGGTGAGGTTCTTGCTCTCGCTGTCTATCCGTGCAGACTCACCCTCAACCAGCCTTTCGTATTTCTTTGCCCTATTTTGGTTGGGCTGGATCCCAAGAGATGCACAAGCCAAAGCAGCAAAAGATTTGTGCTTCTGTCATCCGGCTGAATGTGCCTTACAGGGTTTGCCTGCATTCCTTGCTAGCCAGAACAACAGGCTTTGTTTCCAGAGTTCAAGCCTTCCTGTGCCTCTCGCCTCCCACTTGCTGCCCAGACATGCATTATTGCCCTTATTTACTTAAGGTGCAACTTTCCCACACTTCTTTTTTTAAATATATAGATATATACTCCAGCAGCAGAGCTGCCCTTCCTGATACCCCAGCCTCAATTATCTTCTTGGACTTAGGGAAACCAAACTATATGCTGTGTTCTTTTTTATTTTTTTTCCCCACTGAGTTGGGATGAGTCACAGTCTGCTATGTTACAGATGCAGCAGTTTAAAAATAAAAGCCCAGCCAAAGCTGCTTTTAAGACCCAAAACAAAACCGTATGGAAGTTTCTCTCGTTCTCATTAGAAGTGATATGGAGCCCCCCCCCCCCCAAAAAAAAAAGACCTGATCAAGATGAAATGGATCCGCTTTGTAAGCCAGGCTTTTTTTTTTCTTTTTTCTTTTTGAAGCATACAGTGGCTGGATGTATGTTAATGTGGAAAGACTTAATAAATTCCTCTGCTAAAATTAGCCTTGCTTCAGTTTGGCTTATTTTTTTGGAGCTGAACTATCAAGATGGGCCTTGCCTAGCATTAAAAATAAAGTTAGACTTTTAGAGGCTGGTTTTTGTTTTGTTTTTTTTAAAAAAACACGTTGCTTTTGTGTTTAAGCAGTGTGTGCTGCAGCGGCTTTTGGCCCTTAAACTACAGTGGTCTGTTCTGGAAGTCTCTCTTCCCCAACATCACGTTCTCCTTTCCAGCACTGGCTGCCAGTGATGGGGGCTGTAGTCCAAGATTTCAGGAAGCTTTTTTTGTGAGGGGCAGGAGAGAAGCTGCTATAAGCTTTTGTTCTGTGCAAGGATTGAAATCTGTCTTTTGTCCTTCTGGGGCTTCTTTATTCAAAGGGGAACCTCCATTTCCTCTGCTCTGCTGCTCCCAGAGAAGATTCCACAACCAGGACTTGAAATACCTGTTGTTTTCAATCTGTCAGTGGCATCAAGGCCTCTATCTCTCTTTCTCAAAGCGGCTGCTTCTGTCAAAAAAAAAAAAAAAAAGATAATAATTAGGGGGAGTGGTTTTCCATCTGAGGTGTTTGGTTTTTTTTAGGAGAATTGAAGCATGATATTAGCGCTAAGTGTTTAGCTCCCCAGTCATATCCCTGCTGTTATTTTTCCCATCACAAGGCTGTATGGCAGGGTATTGTTTTGAAAATCCGAATGAAAAGGGTTGTTTTGGTATGTTAGGTCCAGCGGAGTTGAGTAATTGCAGTTGATTGTTTCTCCCCAGATGTTGGGTATGAAATGCCTCTTTTGTTCACTCACAATTTCACACTTGCAAATATTTCATTTTCCACCTCAGATAGTACATTTTATTATTATTTTTTTAAAAAAAAATTGGCAGTGCTGTAATAATGCCCAAGGGCAGGAACGCGGGGGAGACTGGATATTTGGCTAATAAATTATTTTTCCCAGATTTTGTTCTTACATCAACTTGCGTTAGAGTGTGTGTTTTGTTTGTTTTAAACTTACATAAGCCTTTGAGCCAAAGTTTAAATAAAATCATCATGGAATTGGGGTTCCTGAACTGAACTATGTCTGGGCAGCTGTATCAACTCCCACCCTATCCCCTTTCATGTTGTGTATGGAAAGGTAGATAATCTAATAGAAACATTGCTTTGGGACTTCTGTTATTATCTGGTTTAAAGTGGCTTCCTTCTCCTTATGTCAGCATGTGACTCCTAGTAACTGCATACCCCAAACGGGGGTACATCTATGAGCAGAATTGTGGGGAAAGGGGAACCTAGTTAGCTAGCTGCTTCATCCTGCTGGGCTGTTTGCCTTTCTGCTGAAATGCCTCTAACCCCTTGTTATTCATGAGGGTCTTTGGATAATTGTTGCTCCTCCCGACTAATTCTTTTCTCTTTTCACCCTGATTCCTTTCTCTAATCCATTTGTCAAGGCCCAGAGATTGATCTTTTGTGTCCACCCACCCACTCTCCCTCCTGCGTTTCTGTGAGCTTCAGGATAGCATAGAGTCTTGTCCTCAATGGCTCCACACTGAGCCTCCCAGAACAGTTATTCTTTTGTACAAAAGGCTGCCTTTTAGAGAGACCTTGGTTAAATCTGTTTGTTTACAAGAAGCCACCAAATAAGTCTCCGAAAGAAAGAATGCTGCATTTTTTTTAAAAAAAAACAGGAAAGCAAAACTTGGACTTTCCAGCCGCTGGTCTCTTTTATTTCCTTTGGGGATATAATTCCAAGCTCTCTTTCTTTGAAGGTGTCAGTATGGATGGCAAGGCCAGTACTGCGACAAATGCATTCCACACCCAGGCTGTGTCCATGGCACTTGCAACGAACCGTGGCAGTGTCTCTGTGAAACCAACTGGGGTGGCCAGTTCTGCAATAAAGGTAGGCTGGATCTAGGAGGAGCTGAGAGGGGGTTTGAAATGCAGATAAATATCATGGAGGTTGGGGTGGTAGGTAGAAAGTGCACTTTGGCCCTGCTGGCTTTTGCTTTCCCTATTCTGCTTATGAGCTTTGCTGCCATCTGATTGCTTTGTCTCGGAGAATAGCATGACAGAGGACACGGGACATCTGCTTTGAAACCTCTTATTCATTCTTTTGGCTCCTGTTCATCCCTTGCAGATCTCAACTACTGTGGGACTCACCCGCCTTGTTTGAACGGAGGGACCTGTAGCAACACGGGCCCTGACAAATATCAGTGTTCCTGCCCTGAAGGCTATTCGGGACAAAACTGTGAAATTGGTAAGAAATTCTCCAGGGGCTACTTTGTTGTATTCAAGCACCATGGCTGCACCCCTAGGGATCATCTGGGCAGAATGAGAGATGGGGAGAGAATGCAAAATTATATTACAGCGCATAGTAGGAAAACAGTGGTTCTCCAGAACTTTGCACTCCATCTTTCAACTGGCTTACCCGGCATCGCTAATGGCAAGAATAATGGGAGCTGAAGTCCAAAAGAGCTGGAGAAATACCCCATGGCTTCCATTCTTGAGGAAGTCAGCCACAACCATTGTTTTCATGCATTGGCCTCTAGCCTCTAGCTTAGCACCCTGCCATTGGTTTCAGGGTAAACCGGGTAGCATTCAAAGATGGAGAGAGTATTAGGTCTACTGCAAGATGGAAAGTTGGAGGAGCCAAAGGAAGCAGGGAGTGGCTTTGAGGGTGAGAGGGGTGGGTGGGTTCACCTTGGTAGCTTTGACTAAGCTGAAGGAGATTCTGTTCTTGCTGCAGCGGAACACGCCTGTCTTTCGGATCCTTGTCACAATGGAGGAAGCTGCCTTGAGACCCCTACTGGATTTGAATGTGTCTGTGCGCTAGGCTGGGCAGCACCAACCTGCACGCTTAGTAAGTGCATTGGAATGACAAAGCTTTAACCTCTCTTGCCTCCTTAAGCGTCCCAGAAATTTCCAAATCGTTCTTAATAGTTACTACTGTCAGAAATCGTGCTGATTAGCAAATCGCGGTACCAGTTTCTACCTTTTAAAGATTCTCCACTAAGAATTCCCAAATTCTTAAACCTTTTATTTGTTACTCATGCATCTTGCCAGTATTATTTGCGAGTCTGGAAGAAGAAAACCAGAGCATGTTCTTCTGTCTTATATGTGTTAGGATATGTGTTATCTTTTCAGTGAAAATCAGTTCCAGTATCCGTGGACATGTAAAAATTGTACTTCAGGAGAGATCAGAACTGCAGTTAAGGACAGATTAGAGCTGAAAAGCAGAGCTGGACAGTACTTTGGGATATGATTAAAGAGAAGATGTTTTGGAATATGCATGAATGCAAAGGAAAATAGAATGGCAGTTTATTATTTATTATAATTATATTATTTAGTATAATTATTATAAGGAAAATGATTACGATAAAACAATGGGTGCAGAATGGCCCATGTTGGTTGGGGAGATACTAGTGTGTGAAACCCTGGGAAGTCCCTCTTAGTGTTGAGAGTACAAGTCTTGGAAGGGTTGAATTGCTATAAGACAGCTCTCTGGGTTTTCGTGGGCCCCACTTGAACTTCTCCCAAGTCTAAATGAATTCAGTGGAGTTTTGTTTTTTTTCAGACTTGAGCTTAAGATTCTGGCACTTAAAAAGCAGGGCAGGAATGTTTTTGTGAATATCCATGAATGAATATTTTCACTGGCATTCTGGCTGGAGTAGTTATCTCCTGTTTGAGGACAATGTGAAATTGACTAGCACTTTTTCTGAAGGCTGTTAACTCCAGAAAACCTGACGGAGTGTGAACATTCCTGGTGTTGAAAGTTTCATCTTATCCAAAGTCATAACTAGGTTTAAGGATGTCTGAGGCACAAAAGACAGTTGAAGGGGCAGGGAGGAATGAAAAGCGAAGGGCACGATATAAAAGTTGGATATTTCCTTTGGTGTATAGCAGGGGTAGGCAACTTTGGCTCTTTTATGACTCGTGGACTTCAACTCCCAGAATTCCTGAGCCATCCATGCTGAGGGAAAAGGGAGAGGTTTCCAAGCTGAGCCATGCTGGCTCAGGAATTCTGGGAGTTGAAGTCCACGAGTCATAAAAGAGCCAAGGTTGCCTACCCCTGCTGTATAGCAAAGAGATGCACAATTGCTAAAGTGTTGGTCGGATGTTCATTGCCTAACCTAAGGCTAAATAAACCTTTTCTTGGCAGATATTGATGACTGTTCTCCAAACCCCTGTGGGCATGGAGGTACTTGCCAGGATCTAGTTGACGGATTTAAATGCGTTTGCCCACCTCAGTGGACTGGTAAAACTTGTCAAATAGGTATGTATGATGGTGAGGGCCGCTGTGCCTTGAGCTGATCGGGGAAACCTCAGGTTCTTTCCTTCTCTTCCCAGATAGCAATGCTCAGTCTGTGGAGCATTGTTAAATTGCATAATCTTAACAGCTTTTCCGTGGGTGCCCGTGCATTATGGAAGGAAATTTCAGAGCATCTCTGTTGTATATATGAGAAATTCAGATTTGTTAATCTGGGAATCTCTGGAGTTGCTTGAATTCAGAGGAGGAGACCTTCCTATCATTTGCCCAAGGGCACAAGATTATCTTCGCCCTTCCCATCTCCCTGCACGGTGATTCTGGGGGAAGTAGCCCCCTTTATGCAACTCTTGAGACTGCTTGCTTATCTTGGGATCGGCTGGGATGCGTAATTGGTTGCTGTGAAGAGCAAATATATCCTCCTCAAGGCAGTGCACTCTCCTACCTGTTTTCCCCTCTCTTTTGGCCTCGTGGGAAAGTCGGGGCATCTCCCCAGCCTCATTAACTCATCCAGCCAGGAGAATTTGCAGCTGCATTCCAACCTCTGGCTTGATCCTCTGAAGAATGAGTCATCTGCACTTTGAAGACCCATGTTTTAATCCCAAGGACTGAGGATGCTCTATTCCTTGGCTAATCTCCACTTCACTCACCTCTTCCTGCCTCCCCCTCCCCCTTCAAAAGTAATTGCTCTTAATCTGTGAGGGGCTGGTGTCTTAGTGCTACCGATGCCATTGTGAGAAATCAGAACATGCTTTTTTAGGCGATTTAAACGCAGGACTAGGCTGCCTGGTGCTCTCCTGAAGTTTTGGACTGTACTTCCCCTAGTTCAGTGGTTCTCAACCTGTGGGTCGGGACCCCATTTGGGGTCGATCGACCATTTCATGGGGGTCGCCAAGCAAGGCTGTCCACCATTTTTTTTGTCCGCCATTTTTTTTGTCCGCCATTTTTTCCCCCTTTTCCGGCAGGTGCCTTACCTCCCTTGGGCTGGGCCAGCTGGTGGTCAGCCTGCTCCGTCTCTGCTGCTTGCCAGCTACGCCTCGGCTGGCGCAGAGGGCGGAACCACACATGCGCGGCGCTCCCGGGCAGGGAAAGTCCTCGACTTACGACCGGTTGGGTAGTCCTCGACTTACGACCGGTTTAGTCCTCGACTTACGACCGGTTTAGTCCTCGACTTACGACCGGTTGGGGTCGCGGCATTAAAAAGGTTGAGAACCACTGCTCTAGTTTGTGATGCCAGGCTGCGGCTGCTGGGAGTTGTAATTCCCAAATGTTTGCAGGGCATCAGGTTGCCTGGCCCCGAAGTTGTTCTTCTCTTGCTTGTGCAGTTGTGTAATCTTTCCGAGTCCGCTAGCTTTTAATAAACACGGAGTGCCTGCTGTGAAAACAAGAGAGGGATGTGCTTTCCTCTTTCATTCTACCCACGGCTGAACGTTGAGCAATTCATTTTCTCTTTTCAGATGCCAATGAATGCGAGGGCAGACCTTGTATCAATGCCAATTCCTGCAGGAACCTGATTGGTAGTTATTACTGCAATTGTATTGCTGGCTGGACTGGCCAGAATTGTGAGACAAGTAAGTTTGAGCATGGGTGTAGCTTGGGGGAGTCGAAGTGCAAAGTGTTGCAATCAGCACCAAGCTTGGAGTTTAAATTTTGTCATAATTCAGCCAGAAGGAAGGGGGGGGGGAGGCGAGGAGAGTCGCTGATGTTTTTAGAAAGGGAGTAGTCAATCTGGCAAGAATAAGAAGCAATTTTATCAAACCCATTAGTCCACAATGTGGCTAGATTCTGATAAGGTGGCTCGAAACAATGATGTGAAGTTTCAGTTTAACTCTACTGGAAGAATTGCTGAAGGTTCCCACCCATTACAATAACGTTATCTTGAGGAAAAAGCAAGCAGGAAATTTCACAGAGTTTATCTAGCTAGAGCTACAGAGCCCCCTGGTTTTTTTGTTTTGTTTTGTTTTTTCAATCTTGGATTTCACTTGCTGTATTGCCTCCCCACTCAGGTTGTGTTTTTCTTTTTCTTCTTTTAATTACAGATATTGATGACTGCGTGGGGCAGTGTCAGAATGGAGGGACTTGTAAGGTAAGTAATGGTTGATTTCTTTTTGATGGGGTCTTAGTACCAGTTTTCAGCAGAGAATAGCGATGAAGAGTGAATGGGCAGCATAGTCGCTCTTGAATTTGTGTCGTTTTTGGTTGGATTTCTGCTAATCTGTGAATGAGATTTGAGGGAGAAAAGAAGTCCTCATTATTGCTACTGAAAGAGTCTTTTCTCTCAAAAGATGCCTCTGAGGTTCCATTTCCCTCTCTCTCTCTCTCTCTCTCTCTCTCTCTCTCTCTCTCTCTCTCTCTCTCTCTCTCTCTTTCCCTCCCTCTCCCTCCCTTTCCCTCCCTCCCTCCCCTCTCTCTTTCCCTCCCTCCCTCCCCTCTCTCTTTCCCTCCCTCCCTCCCCTCTCTCCCTCTCCCTCCCTCGCTCTCGCTCTCTTAAATTAAGCTCCCACACTAGATAACTGGAAAAAGTTAATAGATCATTTAAATTCTAGTCTGCAAGCAAATCCAGGAAACAAATTGGGAGAGTTCATAATTGAATTCACAAAATTCAAATTCCTTAAGCACCCTTACAACAGCCAGAGTTACTCACTTGCTTCAGAAGGTTGTGACGCTGGGTGACATGTTATTTTGGCCCAGCGTTCCTGCTGTGAAACAAAATCTCCCCTTCGGAAAGGTTGCCAGTCAAATCTAAATTCAATCATTTTACTCTTTAAATCCCAAGGAATCCAATTTCATACCCTTGCCTCCCTCACCGGTCCATTTGCAGAAGCTTATTTTATATACTAAATTGTTTCCTTAGAAAAGGTCTTTTTGATCATTCTAGAAATGAACATCAACCCTCAATGCTTGTCTAGTTTAGTACCATTACTTTACCGCTAGTGTCAACTCGCTAACTTGCACACGAACCACATAACCATGGTTTGGTATAATCATAGACAATTTGCACACACCATTAGCATAATGGGTGGATTTTCCATCGGATTAATCGACTGTGAAATGATCATGTTAAAACTTAGCATGATGCGTGAACTAGGCCATTACATATGAAGGGGAAATCATTTTATGCTAAATAAGCGCAAAAAGGAGGTTAATGGTAGCCTCACTTGCAGGGACATTAAATTTCATAAAACCTTTTATGACATTTAATGATTTTCCCTTCATGCGTAATTTTATGTCATTTTTCACATTTTAGAAAAACAATGCTATCGCATGCTATTAATGTATGTTCAGAAATCTCAATGCGCGAATGCGTAATTTGTTGCTACCAGCAGCTGTTGTGTATATTTTAAATATATTCCATCTTTAGCCTATCCTTCATTCAGATTGGCATGCTTCTCCTTCTGCTCTGCTCCCGTGGTGGTCTCATTTTAATTCTCTCAACAGTTAGAAAGAGGAGGGCTTCACAGATGAAATGGGAGTTCAGCCTGACATGGAACCGATTGTTGCTCACCCACAAATTAGGTGTTGAGCACAAAATGTATGAGTTTTTCTTTTTTTCAGGAAAAGAGGCTGGGAGAAGAGGCCTGATTTTCCTTCCACTTTATTTCTGCCCCTTTTTCTCAGCTTGACTTTAGTAATGAAGATAGCACTTAGACTTATATACTGCTTCACAGTGCTTTACAGCCCTCCCTAAGCAGTTTACAAAGTCAGCCTATTGCCCCCCAACAATCTGGGTCCTCATTTTACCGACCTGGGAAGGATGGAAGGCTGAGTCAACCTTGAGCCCCCATTAGGATCGAACTCCAGGCTTTGGGCAGAGTTAGCCTGCGATGTTGCAATACTGCACTCTAACCACTGCACCACCACGGCTCTTATCTTGCTGTTGTCAAAGTTGCAAACTTTGTAGAACCAAAGCAGGGCTTTAGAGTGCACTGAGTCCATCACTAGTGTCATCCTCCTGCAAAGAAGTATCTCCCTTTAGTTATGAATTTCAGACTGCATGTGCAGGAATGAACCAGCGTTGCTGCCTCATCCTGTCTGTTTAGCTCTGATGATGCAGTGAATCCAAGTCCCCTCTGGCTTGACTCACTGCTTCCCCATTGCACTTCAGTGGATTTGCATGGTATAGGTAGTCCTTGATTTACAACCATTCACTTAGCGACCGTTTGAAGTTTACAGTGGCACTGGAAAAAAAGCGATTCACAACCAATCCTCAATCCTCACGGTTACATAATCAAAATTCGGGTGCTTGACCGTCAGTGTATATTTACGACGGATGGTCGCAGCATCCCGGTGTCCTGTGATCGCCATTTGTGACCTTCCCAGCCGGTTTCTGACAAGTAAAGTCAGTGGGGGGAAGCCAGAGTTGCTTCACGACAATGTGACACCCTTAAAACTGCAGTGATTCAGTTAACTGTGGCAAAAGAGAGTCATAACATTGGCCATCATTCCACTTAACAACCCTCTTGTTTAACAACGGAAATTCTGGTTCCAATTGTCATAATTTGAGGACTCCCTTTTAAGTCACAACAGTCCCAGCGCACGTGGTCAAAGAGAAGGGCTTGTGAGGGTTCTAGTCTTAACGCCCCCCTCTCTGGGGTTTTGTGCTGCTTGCATGTGTGAATGCTTTTGTGTTTTATTGGCAAGGTAAGCTGATCTCTTTTTTGCTGTCGCACCCTTTTGTCTTTCCAGGACTTAGTGAACGGTTATCGCTGTCTCTGCCCACCTGGCTATATTGGGGATCACTGTGAGAGAGACATCAATGAATGCGCAAGCAACCCTTGTTTGAATGGGGGCCACTGCCAAGATGAAATCAACGGCTTCCAATGTCTCTGCCTGGCTGGCTTCTCGGGAAACATCTGTCAGGTGAGGCAGGTTCCAGATAAGAGCAAACTCGGTGTGCAGTTCCGTGGATCTGTAGGCTGAATACCTGTATTCAAACAAGCAGTGTTAATAGACGCTTTTATTTTAAAAAAAAAAAAAAACATCAAGGGTGAGGTGTGGTGGGAATTCATAACTGCAGGAGTATTTGTGTGCATTCATGTTGCAAGCGCTCTGCGTCTCCCCAGCCTCTGCCTGCTGTTTGATAACCTCGTTATTTTAGCGAGGCTGGTGAGAGCTGCATTGTGTCTGGCGTACACAGGCAAATAGAGGTGGCAGATTAAAAAGGTCAGATTCCACACTTCCTTCCTGTGACCGTGGGAAGAAGATGAATAAAGCCTTTGACTTAGATTCTCTGTTCTGTCCTCCTCTTTCCTCCCTCTCCACCATCCCTGACAGTTGGACATCGATTATTGCGAGCCCAACCCTTGCCAGAATGGGGCCCAGTGCTTCAATTACGAGAGCGATTATTTCTGCAGCAACTGTCCGGATGATTACGAGGGCAAGAACTGTTCCCACCTCAAAGATCACTGCCGCTCAACTCCTTGTGAAGGTATGCTTTTGAACCTTTGTGTTGTGTAGTTGTAGCAGTCGCTCATTTACCCGGGGACAACGCTGGGGGTCCGTGTGCCGTTCATGCAGAAAGTCCCAAATTCAGTCTCCAACATCACTTGACCAAGATGTCTGCCTGAAATTTCAGGGGGCAGAACTCCAGTGACTCAGCGTAATCAGTGCTGTGTTGGAACAGGTTAGCAGGCTTGGGCTATGAGGCAGCGTAGAGCTTTCAGACCCCATTTTCTGTGGGTCACACCGAGTATTGAGTTATGCCCTTTAAATACATTAGCAGCCATTGTTCTCCTGCTATTTTGAGAAAGAAGGCCCAGTAACTTTACCATGCATTTCTAAATAAGTTTTAAAACTACAGAATATCCCAGCTCTGCCCACTTGGTAAATCCAATTCAAAACCCGTCTGATTCAAACTATCTGCTTCAAAGCTCATCCTAAAATTGTTTAGTGCAATTCTCAGCCACCACAAGTTCACCTTTCCCTGATCTAGATGGAGAAATAACCTGGCCTGATCTAAGGCCTTTCTGGTTACATGATGCTCCTGCTCCTAAGAGTTGGAGATACTTAGAAAACACAAAGCGCTTTAGAATCGCATGTTTACACTTCTAAGGGATTTTTTAATAGCAATGTTGGAGAGCCATAAGATGTAGGTATACTGCCCTTTGGGACTAAAGGTCACAAACCAGGTTCTGGAAAATATTGGGGCTGGGTGGAAGACACGGCAAGGGAGAAGCAGATGTGTTCAAAGTAGAAAGCGAGGGGGTCCAAAGTTGAAGCCACTTTTCTTCCACCAGTTGAACTCTGTTGCATTTCCTTATCAAACTTTGAAAACAGGAATGTCCAACCTTGACAACTTTTGAGACTTGTGGACTTCAACTCCCAGGATTCTGCAGCCCACCATGCCTGAGAGTTGAAGTCCACATGTCTTAAAGTTACTGAGGTTGGGCACCCCCGCTTTAAAACCTAGTTTAATTTGAAATGTACTTACCCCACACATCGGCAACAACCCTGGAGAATCCATAAAGCTACTGGAAAGACGGCGAAGACTCATTTTTTGCTTGCTTGTCTCTTTTCTGCAGTGATTGACAGCTGTACTGTTGCTGTCGCTTCCAACAGCACCCCAGAAGGGGTCCGCTATATCTCTTCCAACGTTTGCGGCCCCCATGGCAAGTGCAAGAGCCAAGCGGGAGGCAAGTTTACTTGTGAATGCAACAAAGGCTTCACTGGCACCTACTGTCATGAAAGTAAGATTTGGAGATGCTTATCTTGGTTCCTCTCATTTATATCCAAGTTTGAAGCTACTTGTGTAAATAATAAGAACTTTTGTCCTTGGGACGCAGGAGTGGCCCTAATACATCTTTTCAACCCTGCCAAGTTCTCTTTTTTCCTCCTCCTACAGTGAATTGAGACGGGAGCCTTGGGAAAATTGTTTAAGAGGTCCCTGCCCTTGAATATTTAAACTTTTTTTAAAATAAATTATAACATTAACTTGGGCTTGTGTACAGAAGGCTTCTTATTAGCGTATAGCAAACTTATCCTGCCATTTTTATTGACTGCCTTACATAATGTTTAAAGCATGTGGGGATATTAAGAATAAGATGTTTTTTATTAGCCTGCTTTCCCTTTTTTTAACAAAGGGCCAGGCACTTCCATATTGAATGGAACAGATTTAATCTTGACATCTCTAGGGACAGGTCTAAAATTTGCCGGGGGACATGATATTTTTCAGCCTAGATTCCCCGTTCAATTTTTAAAAGGCACTTTTTGGTCCACTCATCTCCTTTTCAATCCTTGTTTTTCAGACATCAATGACTGTGAGAGTAACCCATGTAAAAATGGGGGCACGTGCATTGACGGCATCAACTCCTACAAGTGCATTTGTAGTGATGGCTGGGAGGGCACCTTCTGTGAAGCAAGTAAGCAGGTTCTTTTTTTCCAGCAGATGGGAAGATGGAAGGGGGGGGGAGAGGGGAAAATATCCTGAAAACACCATGGGCCTCATTTATTGAGCAGCCTGCCTAGATACATTGAGAGAGTTGGGGATCTCGGTTTGGATCAGGAGAAAATAGTTTTCTGAGTTTGTAGGCTATACAACATTAGACGTTGCAAGTGTGTGTTGTACCCCAGGTTGTGGGAATAGTAAGTGAACGTTTTATCCTGCCCACTTGTACCCTCCTTCATCTTAATTTGGACATTGGGCTAAGCAAAGAGGAATTCATCTCTTTTCACAAAACCAAATAGTTGTTTGTTCTGACCTCACATCTAAGCCCATCCTACAAGGCCTTATGTGTTGATGCTTTGTTTTTTTTCCCCTACTTGTTTTTCTTCCTGTTGGGATATCCAGGAGAGTTGTCTCAGGTTCAACTCTCTCCAGGTAGCTGACAGCACCTATTTATTCATTGGATTTTATTTACTGCCGCTTTTATGCAGCTCAAATCAGCTTACCGAGGATAAATGAAACAAGAGCTATTATAAAGCATTGACAGAAACAAAACAACAATGCCCCAAGCAACGGGTTCAACATCTAAATACATAGCAGTATAGATTTGGAACAATGTTCCAGGCACCAAGAAGTCTGGGAAATGTAGTTTTCCCAAGGTATTTTTGAGTTATTTTGCAGAGAAATCTGGTTATAGTTCCAAGCCATTGCACTCCTGGAAAGGTACTTTTGCGTTTCATTTTTCTTCTCACCGTGTGCTCACATAAGATGTGAAATAAATGTTCTTGAGCAAAAAGGATATCCTGTGCAGGAGAAGCTTTCTACTAACTCTCCTTTTGCTCCATCTAGTTACCTGTGTGCCTGAAGTGCCCCTATCTAAACTGCTATATGGTTAAGGGAATGTTGGCTTCATTCAGTGATCTGAGTTTAGTATAAAGCAAGTGTAGCTGAAGTACTGAGATGCCCAACGTTTATGTTGTTAAGTGAGGCATTCATTGAGTTTTGCCCCATTTTACAACCTTTCTTGCTACACTTGCTAAGTGAATCACTGCAGTTGGCAAGTTAATAACACGTTAATTGTTAATTGAACCTGGCTTCCCCCATTGACTTTTCGCAAAAGCAGTTCACATGACACCAGGACACTGCGACCGTCATAAGTATGAACCAGTTGTCAAGCGTTTGAATTTTGATCACGGGGCTGCTGTAAATGTGTTAAAAATGGTCACAAGTCACCTTTTTTTCAGTGCCGTTGTGACTTTGAGCGGTCACTAAATGTACTGTTTTAAGTTGAGGACTGCCTGTACACTAGGAGCTGCATAAATGGCTCACGCATTTTGCAGAGTTACACTCTTAAGTATTTCCTTGTCCTAAAACCCTTAGGCATCCAGCAGACTTAAGCTTTATGAAGCTTACACCCAAAAAAAGAACCTTTCCCTTTTGAATGTCACATTACTGTTGTAATCAGTTTTAATTTTGTGACAATAATACGAACCTCAAAGAGAATTTGTCACAGAGCTTCAGTGTCTCAAGGACAGCCAGGAACATCCGAACTGTTAGCCTTTGGCCTGGAAAGATGTAATTATAAGGACTAGTTTTCATTCCAAAGAACTTCCAAGGAAAGCTGAATAGTGAGAAAAACCAAAAGGGAACCCAGGGATGGAGATTAGAATAGAGGCGATAGGCATCAAGATCTTGCGGCATTTAATCCAGAAGTTCCAGGTTAGAAAGAGGGATGTGAATTATGCAGACAAAGCACACTCTGTAAATATTCTTAGCTCCTACAGATGGGTAACCAGCCGACATTCTCCTCTGTTATCTCCAGATATCAATGATTGCAGTAAAAGCCCTTGCCACAATGGAGGGACGTGCCGAGACTTGGTCAATGACTTTTTCTGTGAATGTAAAAACGGCTGGAAAGGAAAAACCTGCCACTCACGTGAGTGTTTTTAATAGCTTCGCCAGACTCGTATACTTGTGGTATTCAGAGTGTCGTGTTTTGTGCCTGAATTCAGTTGAATTCACTCAGTGAGTTGATTGTCTTCTTAGTAGAAGGTGGTTTCTGTTCCTCTGTCCTTGAAATGTTTAATAATAATAATAATAATAATAATAATAATAATAATAATAATAATAATAAAGTTGGAAGGGACCTTGGAGGTCATCGAGTCCAACCCCCTGCTCAGGCAGGAAACCCTATACCGTTTCGGACAAATGGCTGTCCAGTCTTTTCTTAAAAACTTCTAGTGTTGGAGCATTCACAGCTTCTGGAGGCAAGTTGTTCCACTGGTTAATTGTTCTAACTATCAGGAAGTTTCTCCTCAGTTCCAGGTTGCTTCTCTCCTTGACTAGTTTCCATCCATTGCTTCTTGTCCTGCCTTCAGGCGCCTTGGAAAATAGCTTGACTCCCTCTTCTTTGTGGCAGCCCCTGAGATATTGGAAGACTGCTGTCATGTCACCCCTAGTCCTTCTTTTCATTAAACTAGACCAGGGGTAGGCAACCTTGGCTCTTTTATGACTCGTGGACTTCAACTCCCAGAATTCCTGAGCCAGCCATGCTGAGGGGAAAGGGAGAGGTTTCCAAACTGAGCCATGCTGACTCAGGAATTCTGGGAGTTGAAGTCCAAAGAGCCAAGGTTGCCTACCCCTGAACTAGACATACCCAATTCCAGCAACCGTTCCTTATATTTTTTTAGCCTCCAGTCCCCTAATCATCTTTGCTGCCCTTCTCTGCACTCTTTTCTATTCAGAGGCAAGTGGTCTTTCGAAAGGCAAGTGGTCTTTCTTTGTTTTTGCTTGAAGACATTTTGCCTCTCGTCCAAAAAGCTTCTTAAGTTCTTCAGAAGCTTCTTGGATGAGAAGCAAAACATCTTCAGGCAAAAACAAAGGAAAGGCCAGTTGCCTTTTGAAAAAGCACCTCATGACCTGGATGACTGAGACTCTCCATAGGCAAAGCATCCTGTGGTTCAAAGCCAGCTGGTTTATGAATGCCAGCGTTGAAGTTACATAATGCCAGTGTCTACCTTGCATGAGCTCAGGGTACGTTTCTTTTCACAAAAGTGCATCATTTTGAATATAGGGATCAATGGGTAAATGTGTCCCAGCCACAACCTGATGGTGCCCTTTTCTCAATACCTTCCCTATATGTTAGAAAATTCCAGCAACGTTGAGGGACCCGGGTTTATATTGGGGCGAGGGCAGAAGGGAGAGGGAGGGACACAGTTATGTCACATAAGTTACCATGGGTGAGTAGCAGAGAGAACATTGCAATAAGCTTTAATCAATGGATATTTTTTTTTTAAAAAAGGATGATTTTGAAACTAAGCTGAATGCATCTCATCCATCACCCATTTTGATCTCTTGGATTTTTAAAAGTAAAAAGAAGGAATGTAAAGTTGATCAAGGTTAAAAAAATATATGACGTTCTTTCCAGTTGCTCTTAATAGGAATTTTTTGACTAGGACTGAATGACCATATACATACATACATACATACATACATACATACATACATACATACATACATACATACATACACAAAGTAATAAAATACAGTGTTTAAAGTAAAAGTTGGGTTATTCAGTCACCGTTAAACTACACATGTTCTTTCTGGTATGTGTTAAATTTGTGAATTACTTTATGAAAGGAAAGAAAGAGAAAATGATACGAAATTAACATGGGATGTTATTTGAAGGGCTCAAAGAACAAGATTGTTAACATGTTGCTTCTGGTAGCTCTGAATGGATTTTGCTTGACTAGGTTCAAATGAAGAGGCTTTAAAGATTTGTTTATAGATAACAGATGGCAAAAAGTGGGTTGTATTTTTAGAGGAAATAATAAATTACTGCCTTAAAGGAAAGAAATATGTCACTTTTATTTGACTGAGGTTCAAATAGCTATCTTGTCATTTTTGGTCATTCTTAATGGGGTTTTGCTGATAAGGACTGAATTATGAGGCTTTATCATTTGCTTATAGATAAGAGATGAGGTATGAGAAGAAGATATCTTTTATTGAAATGGTGATAAGTTACTGAAATTGTTTTTACGTGTCTTGATGAAAGAGGATGAAATCATGTCTTTAACTTTTCTTCTTTTCTCTTTGCGTGTTTTCTTTTTCTCTGCACTTTTTACCGCAATTTTCTTCTCATATTTTTCTTACTTCCTATTAGTTCTTGTATCTTTGTATTTTTAAACTTTAATAAACGTTATTATTAAGAGAGAGAGAAAAAAATGACCCGTTGGCTTTTCCCCGTTCGGGTAGGTGACAGTCAGTGCGATGAAGCCACGTGCAACAATGGAGGGACGTGTTACGACGAGGGCGATGTCTTCAAATGCATGTGCCCTGCCGGATGGGATGGAGCCACTTGCAATATAGGTACGAATCTATATTGGGTCCTTGCCCTTCCTTCCCCAAGGCGTGTGCCGAAGAGACTGGCAGCATGCTTTTTATGTTTCTTTTACAGCACGGAATAGCAGCTGCCTGCCAAACCCCTGCCATAATGGGGGAACATGTGTTGTAAGTGGAGAGTCTTTCACGTGTGTCTGCAAAGAAGGCTGGGAAGGACCTACGTGCACCCAGAGTAAGTTCTTTTAACCCACCCCCACGCCCGATTTCTTCCGTAAATACATCTAATGGGGCTTTGTTGAGCCAACGCAACGGTGCTCTGGGGAATTGGAAGATTGAAACCAGAAGTGAGAAGCTGTTGGATGGTGGGACGTGAACCTCACCTCTTTTCCCTCGGCTTTAATGACTTTGTAGGATGGAGCTTTGACCTGGGCCTGAGAAAAAGTGGCAAGCAAGTTAAGTGGAGGCAGATGTTGGGTTGCTCCTCCAGATGGCTTTGCCTCCCTCTTCCCTAGCAGCCACCGTTCAAACCTCTTCCCTCTGAGGCTCTTTACAGTAATCCCCTCCTTGGATCCCTACCAAGCTCTAGATTGCACAAGAGTCCCTCTGTTTGAGCCTGATACAAAAGTTAACATTCTGTACCATTCTAAATACGTGTCAGTTGTGCCCAGGGGTTCTGTTATGTCCAGACTGAACTCAGTCTTCCTGTGGGAAAAAAAAACCTGTTCCTGACTATTCTGAGCATTTTAGCAGGATGGTTTTTTTATATATCTATACCTGTGTGTATGAATTACATCTGGGAGAGCCCCGTAGCTGTTGCAACTGTTAAATAACTAAGAGTCTAAAAGCCTTGCCAGTCACTTCAAAAGCTGCAGAGAGAGAGAGAAAGAGAGAGAGATTACTTTGTGTGAGTAATAAGAGCTCTGAAGGAGGACTTCTCATTTACTGTACAAAACTAGAATGTTGTCAGTGGTTTGTTAATTGAAAAGTAGCCAACAAGGCTTTTTTCTTTTAATCTGCGTGATCCAAATTTCCGGCTTAAAGAATGAAACCAAGATTTAGAGGCCATCCACAAGAAAGTCCATCACTCATCCATTGCCCAGCTTCCCTCACTTTCCTCTAACTTTTCCTTTCTTTAATCTCTCTGCAGATACAAATGACTGCAGTCCACATCCTTGGTAAGTCACTTTCTTGCAGCTGAATAAAGCCCAGAGGGGAAAAAAAGATGAATGGGGAAAGAAAAAGCTTCCACCCAAGCCATTTCCTTTTTCCCTGGACTGTCACCTCTATTTTTACTGTAGATATCTTTACTTGGAAATAGAGTTCCCCAACCTTTATGGCTTTACGAACCAACAGGGGAGCGGGGATGGTTCACGCATGTGCGCATGCAACTCCATTTGCATAAGCGACAGACACGCCTGCCACTTTGTACAAATGGAGTGCGTGCACCCATGCTCGTCAAGTAAAGATGCACATGCCCTCTCCCACCACTTCTGTGGCCTGGTTCCGAGCAGTCCAAAGCCCAATAGTGGGCCATAGCTCGGGGTTTGGGGACCCCTGACTAGGAAGATTCCTTTTTATTGGTCATATGTTGGACATTTGGATAGGTCAGGGGTCTTCAAACTTGGCCCTTTTATGATTTGTGGACTTCAACTCCCAGAATTCCTCAGCCAAAGTGCCTGGCTGAGGAATTCTGGGACTTGAAGTCCACAAGTCATAAAAGGGCCAAGTTTGAAGACCATTGGGGTAGGTATTGCATCTCCTTCCTCCAAAGCATTTGAATTTCTCTGAAAATGTCCTATCAAATTCCTCAAGATTTCCTTCATCTTTGCTGGGTTTATCATTGTTCTGTTAAATAACAAGCTCATTACTTGGCACACTATACATAACTATGTATAATTAACTACGTCTTGTTAAAGCAGTATAATTTGTAGTAGAATACAATTCATGAGTGTATGTTTAGAATAGTTCATATATAGAATGGGTTATATCTGACCTTCCGGGTGTCGATGGCCTTTAAATCCCAGCAGCCACAGATAGCGGAGTCAATGCTAAGAATTGTAGTTCAACGTTTAAAAATCTATTACATTTTGAAGGTCACCCTGCACTTTGTGGAAGTAAAAACCAAAAGATTTGGCATTATCTTTATTTTTTCCTCTTCTCTCTCCCTTGCTCCCCATTCCTCCCAAACAGCTACAATAATGGAATCTGTGTGGATGGAGACAATTGGTACCGCTGTGAATGTGCTCCAGGTTTTGCAGGTCCTGACTGCAGGATAAGTAAGTTTTTAGAATGGTTTGATTCAAAAACGTTGGTTTAAAGCTTTTCAAATTGGCTCATTTGAGCAGTGGTTGCCATGGAATTGGTCTTCAATTCAACGGTCTTTTCTGTGACAGCCCCTGCCCTATGGAACACTTTACCCCCTGAAGTCTGGCGGACTTCCACCCTTTTAGCCTTTCCCTAAGGCTTTAAAGACCTGGCTAATCTCCCAAGCTTTGGGAGCTGAGATGATTGCACATCAGAACTGATTGGCACCGGTTTTTTGTTGTTTCTAATGTTTTAATTGGTTGAGTTTTCTAGTTCTTAAAATATTTTATATGACTCTTAATTTTTATTTTTTATTGGGAGCCACCCAGAGTTAGATGAAAGATGGGCAACAGCTATATAAATGGTTTAAATAAATAAACAATCATACCGCCAGAATAGAATCCCATAAATGAAGAATGTGCGCTGTGGAAATTCTTCCTTATTTGTATTTCAAAAGCTACCCATTATTTTTTTTCTTCTTCTTCTGAATTGGGCTCATAAGAGTCCTAGTTTCATCCTTCCAAGGAAAATCCATTTCAAGAGGGGCTGCGAGGGGGCAAAGAATTCTCTCTCCTCTGCCCTTTCATTCTGAGAATGAACTTTCTTAGGGCCAAGAAACTACTCAGAAGGAAATGTTCTCTAATTAGAATACTTTTTTTTTTGCCTTGGGCGCAGACCTTCAAATAGCGTATATGGTTCCCTGTCAGTAGAAACTCACCGGCAAAAGAGAAGCTATACTTCTTAAGAGACAGAAATCCAATCGGGTGTACAGAATACAAAGTGTAATTGAAGCTGTTGTTATCAGAGGAGTCGATAACGTTGAAAGGGGCATTGTTAGCCAAAATCTAAAGATCATTATAATAGCCCAGTATAAGACAGCTTTGCGCGTTCATAAACAGCGTCTATTCCTGCTTTGTAGAACTTCTGAAATAAGTACCCGGAGCTCCTTTTAATTTTATTATTACCATTAAATGTAATAAGTGTATAAAAATAATAAATGTAATACAGGGGATTGCCAGTTAATGACCAGAGATTTCAGGACCATTCATAGTCACAGTAGCCACGGAACGGAGGCTTTATAGCCCGTAAAGCAGCCCCTGCCATAGTAAATGGTCATGTGCCATCACCCACCAGTCACATGACCGCATGTTGGGTGGGGTCAGCTTTACAATTGGTTGCCAGGTTTTGTGGTCAGGTGACTCAGATTTGGGGTTATTTTATTTATTTATTTGTTAAATTTTTATGCCGCCCATCTCTTCGATGCCGAAAATCTGGGCAGTTTGTGCCAAAAAATGCCCATTCCAATGAATGGGCTCGCTTAATGATCGCTGGGTTTGCTTAACAACCGTTGTGAAAAATTACTTCTGGTCACTCTATGCCTCGAGCTTACAAATGCAACAAATTATGACCATAAATCCAGGCTCAATTATGCTTGTAAGTTGAGGACGGGCCTGTAATAAACCTTCCATCACAAAAGCAATCAAACTTTACAGGTTGATTAAGGCTCTCGGTAGTTTCTGCTAAAGGGTGCAAAGCAATGAATTGCATGGATTCCTCACCTTCCTCCCTTCCCCTCCAGATATCAATGAATGTCAGTCTTCACCTTGTGCTTTTGGAGCAACGTGTATAGATGAAATCAATGGATATCGCTGTATTTGTCCACCTGGCCGCGGTGGTCCCAGATGTCAAGAAGGTATTCCATGTCTTGATTTAAATTGCATTATTCTATTTAGCTGCAGCAAAACACATTGTCTAAATTAGGAGCTGGGGTGCCATTTACGTTTTAAAAGCCATCTTCGTCCTTTTGGATCAATTATTAGGCTGAATATCAACAGCACTTAGATTTATATACCGCTTCATAGTGCTGTAGAGCCCTCGCTAAGTGGTTTACGTAGTCAGCATATTGCTCCCCCCCCCCAACAATCTGGGCCCTCATTTTACCGACCTCGGAAGGATGGAAGGCTGAGTCAACCTTGAGCCGGTCAGGATCAAACTGCTGGCTGCGGGTAGAGTTTGCCTGCAATAGTGCATTCTAACCACTGTGCCACCACAGCTCATAGACAAGTATTCTCATCTGTGTTGGGCCATATTTCATTCAGCAGGGAGCAAGGATGTCTAGATGATTTTCTTATCTTCCCTTCAGCCTTCCTCCTGTGTATTTCCTCTGAAGTCTCATTCTGAGTCAGTGGTCTTGAAGATGAATCCCTTAAACGCTTTTATTCTTAGTTTCAGGAAGACCCTGTGTTGCCAGTGGGCATATTATTCCGGATGGCTCAAAGTGGGATGACGAATGCAACAGCTGTCAGTGTGTGAATGGGAAAGTCTCCTGTTCTAAGGTACGTATCCTAGATCTCTGAACCAACATGCCCCTTTACTTTTTCCCCTGTTCCAGAGGGCCACTTAACAATTAAGTGTTTGGTTATCTTTAGGTCTGGTGCGGTCCAAAGCCTTGTGTGATCAACGCCAAGGGCCACAGTGAATGTCCCCCAGGCCACACCTGTCATCCTGTTAAAGCTGATCACTGCTTTGTCCCACCCTGTGACAACGCAGGCGAATGCTGGCCATCAAATCAACAGCCAGTGAAAATGACCTGCAGTTCAGATTCTTACTATCAGGAACATTGTGCTAACATTACCTTCACCTTCAACAAAGAGATGATGACTCCGGTAAGTGGGCCCATTCCAGGGGAGGACCCAAGAAACTCCTAGCAACTGTCTGCTTTGTAACAGCAGCAGCAGCTCTGTCTCGTCTGCGATCTGAGAGAACCAATTAAAAAAAAAAAAACCTGCGCAAAGTGGTTCTTCAGGTTTCTCCCTAGCTTGCCCTGTGTGTCCTCCATGGGACTTTCTCATCCTATCTTTACATCAACTCTTTGACAAAATCTAGGCAGAGATGACTCCTGCGGGGCTGAGCAAGAAGCTTCGGTCAGCAGTGACTTAATTTGGATGTCTTATTGCCAAAGTCAGCAAAGTGCCTCAAAGCCATTTCACTTATTACTTTTTCTTTTTGGGAAAAACCCTCTAGGAATATAATTGCAAATGCACTCCCCGTGCAAGTTCTGCTCATTGGGGAGCTACGATAAGTGTGCCTCTGTACTTAGAGTTTACTTTTGCAAGCTCAGGTGGATCATTTTATAATTGACCCTCTTTGCTAAATAGCAAATGCAAGATCTACAGCTCCAGTTATAACATAGAGACAAGGAGTCTTGTATAGCAGTAGCTGGATAAAATTAATGATTCATGACCTTTATAGATCCTCTGCTGGTCCAGGAACTCATGCTGTCTTGCCTATGCTGTTCCTCCCTCCTTCTCCCCCCCCTCCCCAAATAGGGTCTGACAACTGAGCATATCTGCAGTGAGCTGCGGAATCTGAATATCTTGAGGAATGTCTCCATTGAATATGCTCTCTACATCACCTGTGAGCCCTCGCATTTGGCAAGCAATGAAATTCATGTGGCAATTGTAAGTCTATAATTGTAAGTTTGGCTTGGCTTTTGAAAAGTCTGGAGGAGATAGTCTCCCAGCCTCTCCGAAGGGGGAGAGAAAAAGGCAAAAGAGGGCTTCCTCTTGCTGTTTCCATTGCATTGGATGGTATTAATCCCAAAAAGAGCGAAAATCAGGCTCTCTGGCTTCCCCCCCCTTGTTTCTCGTTTTCTAGGATCAGTTTCTTTATGCAACAGTGTGTTAGCCACCTTGGAAGCTTGATAATGGGATGTTGTAATCTGAGTTAATAACAGAAACGCGGTGGGCATTTTTGTAAATTCTGCGGTGCATTTGGATCCGTTGAACGGTTTTGAAAAAGTAGGAGGGAGACCTTTAATTGCGTGTAATGAATAGTCTTGTTTTTGCTGAGCTTGCAGGATCCATGCCCGTACCATATTGATCCAGGCTAAAGCTTCCCCCATTGGGTTACCCTTGCTTCCATGCTCTTCTCAAAGCCCTTTGTCTTATTTCAAGTAGCAGCTGATTTTTAAACTCTGCCTTCCCTAAAATATAGCTGTACTGTTCTCCCTTCAGTCTGCCGAAGATATCCAGGAGGAAAATAATCCAGTCAAGGAAATAACTGATAAAATTATCGACCTGGTCAGCAAACGGGATGGGAATAGCACGCTTATTGCAGCTGTTGCAGAAGTCCGAGTGCAGAGGCGGCCAGTTAAGAGCAAAACAGGTAAACCGTTTCGAAAAGGCGGAGGGATTATTTTTTTCTTAAACTAAGAAGACAAGCCAGTTCTCTCTTAAATCTGCTTTCGAAGAGGTGCCTTTGCTGGTGGGAAGATAAAAGTGTTTCCAAATATAATTTTTCTAATACACAGCTTGAAATTATCTTGTTTGGTTTGTATTTGGGGACATCTGGGGGGTCAGAAAAGGCAAACTGCCAGCCATACAACCAGTGCCCCCACTCCCTTTTACATGCACTGCATATGAAAGACGGTGAGGCTTTGATTGTGGGAGATGACCAGGGTGAGCCCCATGGAGGGGCAAACGCATCATCAGTCACGAGTCCCTGCGCTTACACAACAAATCTAAGTGCAGCCTGCCTTGAATTCCTCTCTTAACTCCCGCTAATTTCCCTTGATCGCTAGTTGGTCAGATTCTTGTAGAGAGCTTAAGCTTGCAATAAATCTTTATACTCATTGGAACTGCCTGAATTTTCTGATTTCCCCAGCTCTTGTCATTGATTGCACAATAACAGCTGACACTTGGATTTTGTTTTATCATCTCCCTTTGTGAGTGCCCCTGTTTCTAGCTGACAAGAGAGGAAACCCCTGTGGCTTGAGCCAATGAAAGTTGTTCTTAGGTAGAGCTCAGAGTTGAACTAGCCCTATGAGGACCGTAGATATAAACTCCTCTTGTGCTCAGATACTGAAATTTACTAAACATTGTCCCATTCTTCAGCTTCTGCAAATGCCCTGTCAGGGGGAATTGAATAATAATAATAATAATAATAATAATAATAATAATAATAATAATAATAATAATAATCCACATCTGCCTATCCCAGGTCCTGGGTAAGGACTTGATAGGTAGACAAAATGCCAAATCCAGTCTGAACATCTGGCTGACTGTGCGATGATCCATAATAATAATAATAATAATAATAATAATAATAATAATAATAATAATAATAATAATAATAATAATATATTAAATTTGTATGCAACATGACCTTGGGTGGTTCACAACAATCAAATTAAAAACATAACATGAACAATGAAAAAGAAGATAAGTGCAATGAAGGGAAGGTCTCCCTCTCGCTGAAGGCCTGAGTGATGAAGAGCCAAGTCTTCACGGCTGTTCTAAATGACAGCAGAGCGGGGGCCAGTTAGATCTTGGGGGGTGGGGGTAGAGACCTAGTTCTAGAGGGCCGGTGCTCCAGAGTCCTGAGAGAAGACATTGTTTAATCGAAGGAACCTAGAGCCTGTCAACCTTACAGGATCACATCAGCCAGGCAGATGTTATAGATGATAGGCAGTAAGTAACCAAGCCTTATGCCATATATGAATGACCTCAACCCATTGTTGAACTAGCATTATAAAAAGGAAAACACAGCTGTTCTTAGAAAGTTAATTAGGCTATGTTGATAACCCTCAATTAGGAAGATCAATATCCGATATCAAGGATTACATGCAGGCTTAGTTATACTTAAGCCACACCTTTATAAATCTGTGAGACATGTTAGACATCATTAGTCTGGGTTCCATTGATTTTGGTAGGTTTTGTCTAAATGAGACCGTCTGGACCCAAATCCTGTGAGCCAATTCTAGTTAGGCCGGCCCTTCAGAACTTCCATGGCAGGATCCTGACTCTTAACATAAAGAAAAAGGGAGCATTGCTTTTGATCACAGCTTTTGTATCTAGCCTGCATCTTTTACAAATAATTTTTAAAGTTAAAAAAGTTAGATAAGGAATTCATTAGCATGGGGAAACTTTTTCTACCATGATGCCAACCCCCCCCCCCCAATATGTTGGAACTCAACCACCAAATTCCCCAGGCACCAGGGTCAAAATTGAAATTGGACATTATGAAGGACCAGGTTGGGGTAGGTGGGCATGAGGTCTGTCATTCAAGGAAGAAGCAGCCCCACTTCTTGAAGTACTAATGGTGAGCCCCAATTGCCTTCCAGATTTCTTGGTTCCATTACTGAGCTCCATTTTAACTGTGGCTTGGATCTGTTGCCTGGTCACCGCTTTCTATTGGTGCATCAGGAAGCGGCGAAAGCAGAGCACCCATACGCACACCGCCTCGGAAGACAACACCACCAACAACGTGCGGGAGCAACTGAACCAGATCAAGAACCCCATAGAGAAACATGGGGCCAATGCTGTGCCGATCAAAGACTATGAGAACAAGAACTCCAAAATTGCCAAAATAAGGACACACAATTCAGAGGTGGAAGAAGATGACATGGACAAGCACCAGCAGAAAACCCGATTTGCCAAGCAGGCAACCTACACGTTAGTAGACAGAGATGAAAAGCCACCCAACGGCACTCCTACAAAACACCCAAATTGGACAAACAAACAAGACAACCGGGACTTGGAAAGCGCACAAAGTTTAAATCGAATGGAATATATTGTATAGCAGACAGCAGGTGCTGCCGTGCAGGGCCTTTACCTATCAATCTAAGGCAACTCGGAGCTTGTAGTTCTTAAAACGGTTGTGTAATATTTTGAGTCTAAGGCTATTATTTGCTTAATATCCCTGTGTTAATTTAAGTTTTGACAAGCTGGCTTACACTGGCAGTGATAGTTGCTGTGGTTGGCTGGATTACCAAGTGCTGCATTTCACATCTATGCAAAACTAGTCAAAAAAAAAAAAATGCCCCTGTGTCAATTCAGCCACAGCCAATGCATCCCAGAAAGGTTTCATGAGGAATCACTAGGATTTTATTTCGCTTTTTTTTCCCCCCCTGTAGGGGGAAAGAAATATATACATATTGGTGAGTCTGTTTTGTTTTTTCCTCCCTCCCTCTCCCTCCCTCTCTCGAGATGTCACAGTCTGTAGTCTTAGAAGACAAATATGTTTTATTTATTTATTGAATTAGAGTTCTTTTGTATATTGGTTTTATGGTGACATGCAACTAGTTCTGTATTTGAAAGTGCCTTTGCAGCTGAGAACCACAGCAACTATCAAAAAAAAAAAGTTTATTATTTATTTTTTTATTGTATTTTTTTTTTGGTTTTGTTTTGTTTTGTTTGGGGGAAGGGAGGGACCAGGAAGATTCATGTCAGCAGTTGCTGGTTAAAAAAAATAATAATGAAGAATCGAGAGGAAAATGTGTCAAAAGTGTAGAAGTTTGTATAGTTATGTAAATAATTCTTTTTTTTATTAATCACTGTGTATATTTGATTTATTAACTTAATAATCAAGAGCCTTAAATATCATTCCTTTTTTTTTATTTATACATATGTGTTTAGAGCTGAAGTTTTTTCATAGCATTGTATGCTTATGGCTTCTTTACTTTTTTACTTTTTTTTTTCTCCGTTGTTACATGTTGCCTACATGCCAAAATTTAAATGTTTTGAATTTTGTTTTGTCTTATTTTTAATTTTTAACAATAGGAAGAGATTTCTAGCCTTCGATGCTGACTTTTTTTGTATGATGTCAAATGTGTCTCTTTTATTCCTTTGGAAACAGCTTCCATAGTATCACATTCATATTTTTTTTTTTTTTTTGTAAAATACCAGCCAAGGCAGTTAGATCTAGATTTTCTCTCTCTCTCTTTTTTTTCTGGCTGCTTTAAAAGATGGGGTGGGAGGGAAGGAAAGGATGAGAGGCAGATCATATGCTTCAGAGCAGCTTAAGGGAACACAAAGGAGCTATAACCTCTGTAGATGAAACGTGAGAGTTGTGAGTGGTTGCATGTAATTAAAAAAAAAAATACCGAATTAGTGTGTGAAGTTGGAAGCACCAAAATCTTATTTTGTAAATTCTTGATTTTCTCCCCCCCAAAAATAGTATAAAACTGAACCATCTGTAGATTTCATTTCTTTTCTTTGTAATCTACTGTGTGTAGAAAGTATTCTAATAAGCTAGTTGTTGAATACTTGAACAGTAGAATGTCCAGTAAGATCACTGTGTAGATTTGCCCATAGGTTCCACTGCCCGCCTTAAAAAGAAATAAGGAAATCAAAGTGCTATTACAAAAGTTGGATGATCAAATAATATTTTTTTTTAAAAAAGGGTTCAAACATTGACCACTTGGATCACAGAAATAACTTGTATGATAATATTAGTGTTACATGAACATGAAAATACATCTTTTGATGTGTTATTCCTGGCAATAAATCTTGAAAAATATTTATTAAATTTTTTTTTGTATAAAACTGTGAAAAAATGAGCTTCATTGAGCTGCTGACTTCAGTGTCTGGCAAAGATATTTTTCATAGCGTTAGCATCAAGACCCTTTCTCAGCTCAATGCCACCTATGTGTTGGAATACAACTCAAAATTGCCCCAGGTTGATGCTACCTACAGCAGTAGAACCTTCTACTCCGTTTAAGAGAGTATAGAGCCATCAATAGGCCAAGATGGCATTTGTGTCCCCACAGATACACAATCCAACTAGGTCTTCACTAGGTACATGTAATTGCACTAGATCCCAGCTTCCTTTGCTTGGAAGAATCTGGGGATTCAATTGGTCATGTGCACCCACTGCCACTGTTGTGGGAATGGGGAGTGGTCATTTCACTACAGTCCTATCTGGAAATTGTAATTTAGCACAATTATAAAGTTCAATCAGTTAGGAAGGATTGTCCTCCGATCTCACAGAGCTGAACAATAAATTGTAAGGCTGCACGATGGTGTTCTCTTCGTTGGTGAGTTTTATGATGGTGCAACTCACCTATGAGATTTGGCTGGGTTCAGACAGCATATGAAGCCATAATATGGTGTGTTTGCTTTTGCGTGTTATGTGAACCTAGCAAATTATCATTTATTAAATCATGATTAATTGAATTATAATTTAATGTGATTTGTGAATCCAGTCAGTATTTCCAATAAGTGGATTTATGCCAGCTGCCTTATACCACGTTTCAGCAATTATGTGTGTTAATCTGGTTGATTATGGAATAGTTCAACTCAAGCCAGCAGGACTACACCCCTGGAACGTATTAAATGTCTGTTTTTCTCAACATGGAACTTTCCAAGTTTCTTCTGTATGTTACAATCAGTCTTGGACTGAAGACCCAAGACCTTCAGAATGGCCATATTTTCCTAATGTTGAACTCCTTTCAACTTGATGATTCGGAGATTTCTTCCATCATGGAGCTCATGGTGGGGCAGACAAGATATCTGAACTGCGACTGGACCTATTTGGCTTAATGAGTCTTGACATTTTCCCTTTGAATGATTCAATAAGAAGGTATTTTTGTTCCTTTTTATTAATTTTTTTTGTGACTTAAGACAGCCTTTCCATTGTACTGGGCTTGCAACTCCAGCCTTTGTGGAGGTGGAACTCCAGTTTACCACCTTCAGGACACCAGGGGAAGAAAGGGGCTGGCAGGGGAGGAGCTAATAAAGCACTCTTTAAGATACTGGTTTCTATTGGACTACAAAGAGAAGATGGCTGGTTTCCCTGGCTGATATATCAAACAAGACTGGCTGTGGTTACTAAAAGCTGATGTGAGCTTGTTTAACCTCCTCCAACAAAGTTAAGCATTGTTGAACGCCTGAAGCCAAGACGGCTGTTTATGAGATAAACAAGAAGCCAGTCCTGTGTTGCAAAACAACTTGGGCAAGAGCAATTTCAATTTCCCCATGAGCAAACCCTTTGAACTCGGTATTTTCTGATTATTGCTTGCTACTATGTACCTAAACCAACCACCATTATCTTTACTTCTTAACATTACAGGATTAGGTTTTGATAAAAATCAGTCAAGAGATCAGTCTTCTCCAACCTGGCACTTCCCATATATGCTGGAGTTACAATTCCCAGGATTCCCAGGTAACACACCTGAAGGGTGCCAGCTAGTGGAAAGCTGAGAGGTCATGATGATTTAATTGTGAAATCTCTTTCTACGAAGGTCTTTTCAGTGAATATTGAACAAATGGTTTTTGATCCTGCCAGTTGCATTCCACCCTATTTCACTCATGCAAAGTGAAAGCTTGGTGGATGAGGTCTCCTACCTGTGGAAGGGGTCTTCTACAAGGTGGAAGAGGTCTTCTACTAGTAGCTCATCCCTGCTGGAGACTTGTGCTTTTGCATGATTGGACATCTCTTGCTCCCCTGCAACTTCAAATGGATTCCCTGAGCAAAACCAGGAACATTACAGGCACCGTCCGTCAAAATGGGTATTGATGGTTGGTAGACATGCCATGGAGGAGAAAGCACTCTGACCATTCAGCCCATATTTCCCAATCCATTGTCCTCCAGACGTGCTGGGACTATGTGAATTTGAATTCTTTAAGCAGAAGGCCCAGCACTTTGGAGGGGGAGCAGCACATTAGAGCAGAATGAATTTAACCTTTGGAGAGAGATTGGAGACAGGATGACGGATCTCCCCTGTTGTTTGTAGTTTGGAGCACAAACTACCAGATCGCATTCACTGCAATTAATCATCATGAAGACCCACTAAGAATGGGAAATTTTTCAACCCTGAGCCTTTGGCAGGGGGGGGGGATGGCGGATAAAGTTCCTTGGGTTCAATATCTCCAGCAACTTTTTGCACTTTACTTTTTTGTGATAGAACTTTGTGTTTTTTACCATGCACTGCACAGGCTCGTTGTGCAAAACAATATTTTGATGGTGTCTTACCAGGGAAGTCCTCAAGATAAGAAAGTGGAGAAATATTTGTGGATAAGGAAGGAACAGCATGTTCTCCTTTGCCTTGAGATGATGCAATATCTCCTTGATGGAGTTCCTAGTGGGGGTGGACCCACTTGCATTCTGAATGCAAGGAAATAAGGAAGATGTAGCAGTTAAGACCAGAAACAGCAGCTTAAGGTTATATGTGTCCTATTTCATTGGAAGAGGTCCCTGTTTCAATACAGCTCAATTGGGTTACTGCTATCTCTCTTAGTTGCTGCTTCGGCATAATGGTGTAGAGCAGGAACTATTTTTTATTGCAGATTTCTTTCTCTTTGCCCCAAAGACGGCAAGTTTCTTGATGCATTAAGGATTCTGATGTGTACCATTCCTTGCTAAACTTTTTTCTTTGCTAAACCTGGTTCAAAGCCGTGAAATGAAATCACATTTTGAATTTCTTGAGAGGAAAATTAATTTCTCCTCTGCGTTCCATTGCCTCTTTGCTTCTCCGTACAGTTTTGCAAAGATCATTGCTATCTTTTATCTACTATAAAGCATCCTTAGATTTTAATTATTGGCCACAGCCAACTTGCCACGGGACAACTCGAGGCCAACTCACTGTGGGACAATTCAACAAATACAAAAGCTAAATTAGATTTGGCAGAACCTTGGCCAGTAATAATAAAATAAGAAAGTCAATCCAGAAATACGAGAGTTGACAGTAATTTCAATGAAAAAGTCATCATCAATAATAAAAGTATCTGGATGAAACAATACAGTGTTGAATTGTCCCTTGGCCATGGAGAGTTGACTGTGGTGAGTTGGCCACAGCAAGTTATCCTAGACCCGTGATGGCGAACCTATGGCACGCGTGCCACACGTGGCACGCAGAGCCCTCTCTGTGGGCACGCGCGCCGTCGCCCCAGTCCTAGGCCTTCAGCCAGGTTTTGTAAAACCTTTTCGCTTTAGGCCTCTGCCATTTGCAAAAAAAAAGAAAAGAATCAATCAATCAATTTCAACTCGTGGGAAAAAAAAGATCTTCCAAAAGTTGGAATTGATTGAACTTTTTAGTCCCACCAGTCTGCCATTACTACTGCAGCAACACCCACCCAATTGGCCACACGCACCCAATTGGCCACACCCACCTAGTGGGCCACGCCCACCCAGCACCCGATGATACATAAGTGGGTTTTGGGTTGCAGTTTGGGCACTCGGTCTCTAAAAGGTTTGCCATCACTGTCCTGGACCCACATCATCTATCCATCTATTATGCCTTCTCAGTGTTTCACCATTTCCTAGGAAGCCCATTAATTCTCATGCATAATTTATTCCCACTCTAAACACTTCAGGTATTATGCTCTGTTTTTACTACTTGTTTAATATCCTAAGGGTTACTATTTAGAACTTTGGATTCAACAAATCCAAAACTTATAGAATGAACAAAATTTGCCCCCATGCACACATGAAGCACACCGTGGTTAAACTAAAATGATTCAGATTTTGTTTTGGCTGAGCTACTCTGGGTGGGTCGGAATTTAGCCAAAACAAAACTTGGATTAGTTTAATCCAGGTTTTGACTGTGACACATCCCATAGTTGTCTTACGGAGAAAAACAGAGCAAGGTTGCTATCCTTCCCTTCTTTTCTAGGTGTCTTATATGCCACTCCACCAACCAATTTTCTGTACCTTCCTTCCCTGCTACTACCCTACAGCCACCTGACCCATCCATCCTACCTTGCTCCATGCCACTGGCCTTTCTATTCTGTACTGTCTTCTACCCCATAACTTCTCAGGCAGAACATACATGTTTTAGGTCCATGCAGGGGGAAAAAAGCATACTTGTTTTACTCCAGTGCACAATTGCCTAATGGTATCTCATCCATGGGGATGCAATGACTCAGTGGTTAAAGACACTCAGCTGGGAAGCTGACAGCCCAGGTTTGAAACCTGAGCACCATGCAATGGGGTGAGCTGCTGTTACTTGCCCCAGCTCCTGCTCACCTAGCAATTTGAAAGCATGCAAATGAGAGTCGATAAATAGGTACCACTTCAGTGGGAAGGTGACAAGAGTTCCATGCATCTTGGTATATAGTCATGCTGGCCATATGACCATGGGAATATCTTCAGACGTTGCCGGCTCCCTTGGCTAACAAACGGAGATGAGCCTATCTGATCCACGCAGGGCATATTTTACACATTCCTATCAATCTGATTGGTTAAATCAAACAGAATGTATCCAAATTATTTGGACTTATTTAGATCGACTTCGATATGTTCCATCCTTGACCTCCTAGGCACTTTTATAGAGTGAATTATCCAATCAAATCAGCCCTGATTTGGTGTTTCTGTCTGAATAAGTTCAGCTGGCAAGTGAATTGCATTGATTTTACAAATCAGGTCAAATGTTCAAATCAATATTCAAATCAATTTGAAAGTTGGGATTTAATCAGACTTGGTTTATCTAGCCCTAATAGTTGCTCTTTCAATGGTCTTCAAGCTTGTGTGCCTCAGCAGGTTGCTCACACAGTGTCTTAGGTAATAGAAAAGGAGGATAAATGATAATGTTCCTCATCCTCTCCTCTTGGATTTCTCCTTCCCCCAGCTCTGTTCCTTGAAAGTCAGAATAATGAATGTTTTAAAACTTGTAGAGAATAGTCCAGAGATCTACAAAGATTGGTGAGAATGAGTAAGGAAAAGAGGAACATCTATCAATTAAAAGTATAACTTGTAGAATTTGTATTTTCTTTGAGGTAGGCTTTTCAGATGCTGACAGAATCCAGAGTCCACTTCTGAGCACAGGGTCAACAAACTTTTATCAACATCCCTCTACAAATGCTTACTGAAGCAGGCCACCTGTCTTTATTTGCAGAGAGGTTTGGTTTGGTTTTATGGCAGCTATAAAAGGCCCTGAAGGAAGTGGGCCACTTAAGATACTTTTTTTTAGCCAGGATTTAGTCCTGGGCATAGGACAGAACCCACATTAGTTTCTCTCATGGACATCTTTTGGATGGGCTCCGTGACCTTCTTTGTTCTCTGGCATCTCTCAGTGACTTATGATACCATTTACTATGGTATCCTTCTGAGCCACCTGCGAGGTTTGGGGCAAAGGGGCCCCCTTTTACTGTGATTCTGCCCCTTCCTCAGGGGCAATGGAGGTGGTAATTATATGTGCAGAGGCGATCCAAATTGGTGACCTTGGATCTTATCCCCC